AAAAAGTAGCAAATCATTGCATTTTCGTTTGGAAGATAAGCTCTAATGGCATCTTGAACCGGGGGGGTTTGTTAAATCTATATTACTGTTGAAACAGAACACGCAGATTGTTGCTGCAAGCCTTCAATCATTTTCCAGAAAAATACCTTTCTCTCGTATAGTTGCACGGGTTAAAACTCGCACAACTTATCTTTGAAGTTCTCGTATCAACCTGGGAGGTTGGTCTGGCGCCACTTCGCTCGGCCCTTCCAGGCACTTTCTCTTTTGTGCCCTCTGACCGAGTCTGCTTTAGCCCACGGCTCCTTTGTTAGTTTTCACTATTTTAACCTTACAGGTGGCAAACGGTTTCCAGGAACATTCAAACACTAGAGGGTGAAGGTTAAACGTTCATCTATTTGTAGAAACGATGCATTCTCACAGTTTATCATTCCCATAAAATTTTCTAGGGGTTTTTTTTCCCACTTTTTCCGTATTTTCATTTATGTGTCTTCTTCGTACAGTTGCAGAGGGCATGGTGGGTTTGTTTTAGTGAAAACATGTCAAAAACACAGAATGATCGAAAGAAGCAACATCGACCCGTTTTCATTTGAACATTTCACCCCCTTAGTAACTAACAGATCTGAGTGTGCCCTCTGCTGTGGTGGGGCCACTTACGTGCTTGGAGTGAGAATCAAAGGATTCAAGTACAGAACTCAGCTCATTTGCATTTCTGGTCATCAACATTATCCACATGAATATTAAAATTCCTGTAATAACCAACTATCCAAAATCTGTGCATACAACTGAAGCAACTCGGTAAAATTATCAATAAAACTGTGACATGGACTGCGGGTGGATTGTAGTAGGACATCGATAAGTATTGGCGGGAGATTGTTTTTGTTGTATTTTAAAAGACACATATTACAAAAGACGAAAACTTCCAAGGGACATTTATGGGAGACAAAGTGGGTCTCTGGAAAAGGCAGCTAAGCTCCTCCTTTTTTGTTTTCCCGTTATTTCAGATTCAAACTTGAAATTTTGGTGGTGATGCTTCTATTAAAACGCATTTCCTGAATTTTGGTCAAGCCAAGTTTCAGCATTGCACAATAAGATCAAGATTATGAGAAAACAAATAAAATTGTTGATTAAAAAAGACTTGTTACAAAGAGATCTGACTTTAAGCGTAGCAAGTTTCTAAGTTTCAGTGCTCAAGCGGTGTGGTGTCGGCAGATTCTTACACGGAACAAGAATTAGATTTTCCAGATTAGACTTATCTAATCCAGATGTCTTTCTGTAATGTATATCTTTGTGTTTATTCCTAAAGGGAATGGGCAGGTGGCTTCATGACAGGGCCCCAGCGCGTCTCTCCTCTAAACCTAGACTGCCAGTGGCGGCGATAGCAGGGACCTGTGCATCTAGTGTTTAGAGAAAAGAGGGAAGGGGAAGGCGGGGGAGGAGGATGGAGAGGTGGGTGGCTTTTTGGGTGTTGAACGAGGGGGGCAGGGAGGGTGGAGGGTTTTTGGTGATGGGTTAGTGGCCGGGCGCTGGGCTGAGCTAGAGGTTTTGTTTTAGGTGTTGAACGAGGGGGAAGTGGGGCGGTGGTATTGTCCATGAGGTTAGGGGAGGATGGCTGACGGTGGTTTTTGTTGGTTGAATTGGTAAAACCCTAGGTTGGTTTTGGAGGGTACATTTATGGTGAGTGGTTTTAGCATGTTGGACAGGACTCTAGATTGAGCTAGATATGGGTTGTGAGAGGAATAGTCTTAATCGCGATATTATTAGCCCTGCAGAGTGTTCAGGCTAGGTCAAACAAGTGGATGGCGGGGATGAAAAAACAAAGGGAGAGTCCCATTCTATTCTTGAGGAGTGGAGTGGCAGGGGGGACCAAGACAGGTCCATGGGAGGTGGCGTGTGAGGGGGTCTTTGTGGAGGGCTGGTGGTTGAGGAAAACCCAGCACGAGCCTAGTCTGCTGTAACCTGGGTGAGGATGGGGGCTTCAGAGGCGCTGTATAGAAGAAGAAGGCGTGAGCTGCTTTGGAGCAGCTGGGATGAAGATGTTGGTGGTGGTGGTTGGTCGTGGTGTGGTTATGCTTACTGGTTGATGATGCAGTGCTTCTGTGACAGTGGTTGGTGTTGAGGATCCTTTGAGGCGGTGATGGTGTTGAGATCCTTCGGGGGTGGTGTGGTGTTGAGGATCCTTCGAGGTGGTGGTTGTGTTGAGATCCTTCGAGGTGGTGTTGTGGTGAGGGATCTGTTGCTGGTGGTGGTGGTGTTGAGATCCTTCGATGTGTGGACGGTGTTGGAGCTTCGAGGTGGTGGAGGGTGCTGAGACTTTTAGAGTCGGCTCTCCTCCCTTTACGATGGCTGCAGCGCTGCGGAGGATGAGGTTCAGGGCAAAAAAGACTGGTTATCTTTCAAATCACTTTTACTCCGTAATGTGTTAGATGTGGCCCTTTCCCTCATCAAAAAGCTCTTGCCATATTCCAGACCAGATTAAAAATTCTCAATGAAGGCCAAGTCCTCTGCGTTGACATTCGTTGAGTAGAGGAAAAGTTTTTAGCTGATATGACTGACAGAACTTGTATTTTCATTTGCTTCAGTCCAACATTTGGTAGTGGGCCACTGATAACGATAGTTGCGGTCCATTTTAGCAAGGTCGTCCAATTAAGAGAGAGTATCCCGTTTCTAACTTTTCATTGTGATGTCTTGACGTCTCTACTCCCCCCACGTGGATCACAATCTTTTTACCCCGCGGTCGGTATCAGGACAGAAGCCTCGGCGCCAGCCGCCTATATCTCATCCACTTTGGCAGAGTGTACTGAGGGAACTCGAGATAACGCATGTTTACGTGTCTTATCGCCGAATCGCCGATAAAGAGCGACTCTAGCTTGCATTTGGACTTGACCTGAGACTGAGATGGGACTGAGAGACTATGCTGATTCATCTGCCAAAAGTGGGGAAAAGAGGTTCTTGTAATTAAGATTTTGCTGTGCATTATGAAACTCTTGTTATACATTGTTTGCCTTTGTTTGGGCTTGGGCACCATATGTGTTCAACAATTGTCTCTGTTGATTTTGGGGAAATTGAAGTAGCGTATCTAACTTACGTTTTGTCCATTTGGTCCAATTTCCTTCACTGGTATTGTTGTGTTCAGCCCCAATCTGATTCAAGCACAAACATTCGGTTTTGAAGAAGTTTTAGCTCCCTGTTTGAGTGAAAATCAGGTCGCAAAGTTTTGTTCTGTTTTCCCGTTCTCCGGACATGCTGTAAGTTATGGTAAATTCCACATAGTCTTGTGTTGAAGTTTGTAAAGGAGTAATCCGTGTTTTGTGGAATAAAATTGTAATCAAAAAAAAATGAATTAAAGGAGAATAAAAACTGCAGCAAGCGGGGGGAGCAGCAAGAGCTGCACTGCTCTGTCAGAGGTCGCACACAACGTTCTATTGACTTGTTGGTGTATATGGAACCGGCTCGGACTCTGAGGAGCACAGGGACTGGCCTCCTGCTGGTGCCATGAGTGAGAACCAAATGGGGAGGCAGCGTTTCAGATCCATGCAGCTAGATCTGACGAATCTCCCTGAAAATGTGAGGGATGGGTCTACTCTGTCAATGTTCAACGCCAGTTTTTAAGATGTTCTGTTTGCTGTGCATACAACGAAGGATTTTATCTCTGCATTTTCTAATGCACTGCTGTCAATTTATTTATTTATTTTATTTTTAATTCTTGTGTATATTTGAAAGTTTTAATTGGTTTTATTTTTTGTGTAATTTTAATGTTTTTAATTGTGTTTTATTCGTTTGTGTGATTTTAAGTTTTATTGTGTTTTAATCTTTTGTGTGATTTTAGATGTTTTAATTGTGATTCTGGTCGTTCTGTTTTATGTGATGATTTGTGATGTGGGACTGTGAAGGGCTTTGTGTTGCCCTGTGTATGAAAGGCGCTCTACAATAAACTTGTGTTTGATTGATTGATACTAGTAAATGACCACAGTTATAAACAGTATTACACCAAAGGATAACGTATATATTCTTGGTTGTTTAATACTCATGGGTTTAGTCATCAGTTTAACTTGAATTTAAACATTACCACATTTATTATCTGTATTGCATGCAAGTTTCTTTAGGTGTTAAAGTTATTGGCTCTATTCTTGTTGCAAACTATTTTGCATGACAGGATTACATACTTCAACAACAATCAGTAGAGTAAAATCTAAACCGGTCTCGCCACGGTCTGATTCTAAACCCTTTGTACAAGTTTACTTTTAGTGGAACAAAAATCAATGGTGAATTTCGGCTTCAGGAAGAATCAACGTTAAGGATCAAAAAGATAGATAAGGGATAGATGGTTTCTTTATCTACAGAGGAGAAATTACAAAAAGCCACAAGCAAGTTATCCCTGTGTACGTGTCTGCACTGCCTGCTGCTTAACCCCAAACAGTCTACAAGATTTTAGGCTCTTCGTGCCAAAAGAAATTAGCAAAACCGGCAGGCTCCTTATTTCAAGTCTACTCTACTCTACTCTACTCTACTCTACTCTGGACTCTACTCTACTCTACTCTACTCTGGACTCTACTCTACTCTCTCTCTCTACTCTGGACTCTACTCTACTCTACTCTACTCTGGACTCTACTCTACTCTGGACTCTACTCTGGACTCTACTCTACTCTACTCTGGACTCTACTCTACTTTACTCTACTCTGGACTCTACTCTACTCTACTCTACTCTGGACTCTACTCTACTCTACTCTACTCTGGACTCTACTCTACTCTACTCTACTCTGGACTCTACTCTACTCTACTCTACTCTGTACTCTACTCTACTCTACTCTACTTTACTCTACTCTGTACTCTACTCTACTCTGGACTCTACTCTGCTCTACTTTACTCTGTACTCTACTCTACTCTACTTTACTCTGTACTCTACTCTACTCTGGACTCTACTTTACTCTGTACTCTGCTCTACTCTACTTTACTCTGTACTCTGCTCTACTCTACTCTACACTAATCTACTCTACTCTAAACTACCCCCTGCCCTGCCCTGGAGAGGAGGAACAGATGAGAGAGAGAGAGGAGGAACAGATGAGAGAGAGAGAGGAGGAACAGATAAGAGAGAGAGAGAGAGGAGGAACAGATGAGAGAGAGAGAGAGAGGAGGAACAGATGAGAGAGAGAGAGAGAGGAGGAACAGATGAGAGAGAGAGAGAGGAGGAACAGATAAGAGAGAGAGAGAGAGGAGGAACAGATGAGAGAGAGAGAGAGAGGAGGAACAGATGAGAGAGAGAGAGGAGGAACAGATGAGAGAGAGAGAGAGAGGAGGAACAGATGAGAGAGAGAGAGAGGAGGAACAGATGAGAGAGAGAGAGGAGGAACAGATGAGAGAGAGAGAGGAGGAACAGATGAGAGAGAGAGAGAGGAGGAACAGACGAGAGAGAGAGAGAGGAGGAACAGATAAGAGAGAGAGAGGAGGAACAGATGAGAGAGAGAGAGAGAGGAGGAACAGATGAGAGAGAGAGAGAGGAGGAACAGATGAGAGAGAGAGAGAGAGGAGGAACAGATGAGAGAGAGAGAGAGAGGAGGAACAGATGAGAGAGAGAGAGGAACAGATGAGAGAGAGAGAGAGGAGGAATAGATGAGAGAGAGAGGAGGAACAGATGAGAGAGAGAGAGAGGAGGAACAGATGAGAGAGAGAGAGGAGGAACAGATGAGAGAGAGAGAGAGGAGGAACAGATGAGAGAGAGAGAGGAGGGACAGATGAGAGAGAGAGAGAGGAGGAACAGATAAGAGAGAGAGAGAGAGGAGGAACAGATGAGAGAGAGAGAGAGAGGAGGAACAGATGAGAGAGAGAGAGGAGGAACAGATGAGAGAGAGAGAGAGAGGAGGAACAGATGAGAGAGAGAGAGAGGAGGAACAGATGAGAGAGAGAGAGGAGGAACAGATGAGAGAGAGAGAGGAGGAACAGATGAGAGAGAGAGAGAGGAGGAACAGATGAGAGAGAGAGAGAGGAGGAACAGATAAGAGAGAGAGAGAGGAGGAACAGATGAGAGAGAGAGAGAGAGGAGGAACAGATGAGAGAGAGAGAGGAGGAACAGATGAGAGAGAGAGAGGAGGAACAGATGAGAGAGAGAGAGAGAGGAGGAACAGATGAGAGAGAGAGGAGGAACAGATGAGAGAGAGAGAGAGGAGGAACAGATGAGAGAGAGAGAGAGAGGAGGAACAGATGAGAGAGAGAGAGGAGGAACAGATGAGAGAGAGAGGAGGAACAGATGAGAGAGAGAGAGAGAGGAGGAACAGATGAGAGAGAGAGAGGAGGAACAGATGAGAGAGAGAGAGAGAGAGAGGAGGAACAGATGAGAGAGAGAGAGGAGGAACAGATGAGAGAGAGAGAGAGGAGGAACAGATGAGAGAGAGAGGAGGAATAGATGAGAGAGAGAGGAGGAACAGATGAGAGAGAGAGAGGAGGAACAGAGGAGAGAGAGAGAGGAGGAACAGATGAGAGAGAGAGAGGAGGAACAGAGGAGAGAGAGAGAGGAGGAACAGATGAGAGAGAGAGAGAGAGAGGAGGAATAGATGAGAGAGAGGAGGAACAGATGAGAGAGAGAGAGAGAGGAGGAACAGATGAGAGAGAGAGAGAGGAGGAACAGATGAGAGAGAGAGGAGGAACAGATGAGAGAGAGAGAGAGGAGGAACAGATGAGAGAGAGAGGAGGAACAGATGAGAGAGAGAGAGAGGAGGAACAGATGAGAGAGAGAGAGGAGGAACAGATGAGAGAGAGAGAGAGAGAGAGGAGGAACAGATGAGAGAGAGAGAGAGAGGAGGAAAAGATGAGAGAGAGAGAGAGAGGAGGAACAGATGAGAGAGAGAGAGAGGAGGAACAGATGAGAGAGAGAGAGAGGAGGAACAGATGAGAGAGAGAGAGAGAGGAGGAACAGATGAGAGAGAGAGAGAGGAGGAACAGATGAGAGAGAGAGAGAGAGAGGAGGAACAGATGAGAGAGAGAGAGAGGAGGAACAGATGAGAGAGAGAGAGAGAGGAGGAACAGATGAGAGAGAGAGAGAGAGGAGGAACAGATGAGAGAGAGAGAGAGGAGGAACAGATGAGAGAGAGAGAGAGAGAGAGGAACAGATGAGAGAGAGAGAGAGGAGGAACAGATGAGAGAGAGAGAGAGGAGGAACAGATAAGAGAGAGAGAGAGAGGAGGAACAGATGAGAGAGAGAGAGAGAGGAGGAACTGATGAGAGAGAGAGAGGAGGAACAGATGAGAGAGAGAGAGAGGAGGAACAGATGAGAGAGAGAGAGAGAGAGAGGAGGAACAGATGAGAGAGAGAGAGAGGAGGAACAGATGAGAGAGAGAGGAGGAACAGATGAGAGAGAGAGAGAGAGGAGGAACAGATGAGAGAGAGAGAGAGAGAGAGGAGGAACAGATGAGAGAGAGAGAGAGGAGGAACAGATGAGAGAGAGAGAGAGGAGGAACAGATGAGAGAGAGAGAGAGGAGGAACAGATGAGAGAGAGAGAGGAGGAACAGATGAGAGAGAGAGAGAGAGAGAGGAGGAACAGATGAGAGAGAGAGAGAGGAGGAACAGATGAGAGAGAGAGAGGAGGAACAGATGAGAGAGAGAGAGGAGGAACAGATGAGAGAGAGAGAGAGGAGGAACAGATGAGAGAGAGAGAGAGAGGAGGAACAGATGAGAGAGAGAGAGAGGAGGAACAGATGAGAGAGAGAGAGGAGGAACAGATGAGAGAGAGAGAGAGGAGGAACAGATGAGAGAGAGAGAGAGGAGGAACAGATGAGAGAGAGAGAGGAGGGACAGATGAGAGAGAGAGAGAGGAGGAACAGATAAGAGAGAGAGAGAGAGAGAGGAGGAACAGATGAGAGAGAGAGAGAGGAGGAACAGATGAGAGAGAGAGAGAGGAGGAACAGATGAGAGAGAGAGAGGAGGAACAGATGAGAGAGAGAGAGAGGAGGAACAGATAAGGAGAGAGAGAGAGAGAGGAGGAATAGATGAGAGAGAGAGGAGGAACAGATGAGAGAGAGAGAGAGGAGGAACAGATGAGAGAGAGAGAGAGGAGGAACAGATGAGAGAGAGAGAGAGGAGGAACAGAGGAGAGAGAGAGAGAGAGGAGGAACAGATGAGAGAGAGAGAGAGGAGGAACAGATGAGAGAGAGAGGAGGAACAGATGAGAGAGAGAGAGAGAGAGAGGAGGAACAGATGAGAGAGAGAGAGAGAGAGGAGGAACAGATGAGAGAGAGAGAGAGGAGGAACAGATGAGAGAGAGAGAGAGGAGGAACAGATGAGAGAGAGAGGAGGAACAGATGAGAGAGAGAGGAGGAACAGATGAGAGAGAGAGAGAGAGGAGGAACAGATGAGAGAGAGAGAGAGAGAGGAGGAACAGATGAGAGAGAGAGAGAGAGAGAGAGAGAGGAACAGATGAGAGAGAGAGAGAGAGGAGGAACAGATAAGAGAGAGAGAGAGAGGAGGAACAGATGAGAAAGAGAGAGAGGAGGAATAGATGAGAGAGAGAGAGAGAGAGGAGGAACAGATGAGAGAGAGAGGAGGAACAGATGAGAGAGAGAGGAGGAACAGATGAGAGAGAGAGAGAGGAGGAACAGATGAGAGAGAGAGAGAGGAGGAACAGATGAGAGAGAGAGAGGGGAGGAACAGATGAGAGAGAGAGAGAGAGAGGAGGAACAGATGAAGAGAGAGAGGAGGAACAGATGAGAGAGAGAGAGAGAGGAGGAACAGATGAGAGAGAGAGAGAGGAGGAACAGATGAGAGAGAGAGAGAGAGAGGAGGAATAGATGAGAGAGAGAGAGAGGAGGAACAGATGAGAGAGAGAGGAGGAACAGATGAGAGAGAGAGGAGGAACAGATGAGAGAGAGAGAGAGAGAGAGGAGGAACAGATGAGAGAGAGAGAGAGGAGGAACAGATGAGAGAGAGAGAGGAGGAACAGATGAGAGAGAGAGAGAGGAGGAACAGATGAGAGAGAGAGAGGAGGAACAGATGAGAGAGAGAGAGAGGAGGAACAGATGAGAGAGAGAGAGAGAGAGGAGGAACAGATGAGAGAGAGAGGAGGAATAGATGAGAGAGAGAGAGAGAGGAGGAACAGATAGAGAGAGAGAGAGAGGAGGAACAGATGAGAGAGAGAGAGAGAGAGAGAGGAACAGATGAGAGAGAGAGAGAGAGGAGGAACAGATGAGAGAGAGAGAGAGGAGGAACAGATGAGAGAGAGAGAGAGAGAGAGAGAGAGGAACAGATGAGAGAGAGAGAGAGAGGAGGAACAGATAAGAGAGAGAGAGAGAGAGGAGGAACAGATGAGAAAGAGAGAGGAGGAACAGATGAGAGAGAGAGAGAGAGGAGGAACAGATGAGAGAGAGAGAGAGGAGGAACAGATGAGAGAGAGAGAGAGAGAGGAACAGATGAGAGAGAGAGAGAGAGGAGGAACAGATGAGAGAGAGAGAGAGGAGGAACAGATGAGAGAGAGAGAGAGAGAGACCCGCCTCTGATTGGATCGTTCTGACTGAACTCAAATCAAAAAGACTAATTTAAAAAAGAATCAATCAAAATGTAAATGAACCATGTGGAACGTGATGGTTTCATTTTTATTTGTTTACTATAAAATTAATCATAGACAGAGATAAGATGTGATTTATTTATATCTCACAGAGAAATGTCACGTTTGTCATGGAGAGAACACTCAGATTGTGCAAAAGGAGGAAATGTGCACATGTTACATGCAGGATATATGTACAATAAAGTGACAATCAGAAATAGTGTCAGTATTAGTGCAGGGTTTTTTTTCAGTCTTATACAGTGACTTAAAGTGACTTATTGTACAGTCTGACAGTGGTGGGGATAAAGGCCCTGCGGTAGCGCTCCTTCCTACACTGAGGGTGTCTCAGTCTTCCACTGAAGGAGCTCCTCAGCTCCTCTACAGAGTCCAGGGGCCTCCTGTCCCTCACCTCCTCCACAGAGTCCAGGGGCCTCCTGTCCCTCACCTCCTCCACAGAGTCCAGGGGCCTCCTGTCCCTCACCTCCTCCACAGAGTCCAGGGGCCTCCTGTCCCTCACCTCTTCCACAGAGTCCAGGGGCCTCCTGTCCCTCACCTCCTCCACAGAGTCCAGGGGCCTCCTGTCCCTCACCTCCTCCACAGAGTCCAGGGGCCTCCTGTCCCTCACCTCCTCCACAGAGTCATAAAAAGTCCTGAGCAGAGGCCTGCTCACTCCGAAGGACCTAGTAATTATATATATTATATACGTATATATGTATTATGAAAAATATGCGGCGACAGTGGCTCAGTGTGGAGAGCAATGGCCTTTGAGCCTGAAGGTTGTGGGTTCAAGCCCACCATAAGACCTACTTCACGACTCCCACTGATGACTGCTGTCGTTGTGTCCTTGGGCAAGACACTTTACCCCACTTTGCCTGAAGCTCCTACTAAAAGATCTCAGCTCCTGTGGACTCACCACCTGCAGGAGGATCAGTGAGGGGCTGGTGCTCTGTGACTGGGTGCAGCTCTGACTGCCACCCCCCGACCCAGAAAAGGATTAAGGGGAAGAAAATGAATGGATGGATGTATTATGAATAAAGGCCTGGGAGCCTGAGGGTTCAGTATCTTTGCTGTTCCTAGCACTGCACATTTCTGGACCCAGATGTCCGAGGTTGTTCCAGGGATCCGCTGTAACCTCTTCTAGCTTCGGGGTCACTGCCCCGAGTGCACCGATCACCACGGGCACTACTGTGACCTTTACCCTCCAGGCCCTCTCACTACTGTGACCTTTACCCTCCAGGCCCTCTCACTACTGTGACCTTTACCCTCCAGGCCCTCTCACTACTGTGACCTTTACCCTCCAGGCCCTCTCCAGCTCCTCTCTGAGACCTTGGTATTTCTCAAGCTTTTCATGTTCTTTTTTCCTGATGTTACCATCGCTTGGAATTGCCACGTCCACCACCACGGCTGTCCTCTGCCCTTTGTCTACCACCACGGCTGTCCTCTGCCCTTTGTCTACCACCACGGCTGTCCTCTGCCCTTTGTCCACCACCACGGCTGTCCTCTGCCCTTTGTCCACCACCACGGCTGTCCTCTGCCCTTTGTCTACCACCACGGCTGTCCTCTGCCCTTTGTCCACCACCACGGCTGTCCTCTGCCCTTTGTCCACCACCACGGCTGTCCTCTGCCCTTTGTCCACCACCACGGCTGTCCTCTGCCCTTTGTCCACCACCACGGCTGTCCTCTGCCCTTTGTCCACCACCACGGCTGTCCTCTGCCCTTTGTCCACCACCACGGCTGTCCTCTGCCCTTTGTCCACCACCACGGCTGTCCTCTGCCCTTTGTCCACCACCACGGCTGTCCTCTGCCCTTTGTCCACCACCACGGCTGTCCTCTGCCCTTTGTCCACCACCACGGCTGTCCTCTGCCCTTTGTCCACCACCACGGCTGTCCTCTGCCCTTTGTCCACCACCACGGCTGTCCTCTGCCCTTTGTCCACCACCACGGCTGTCCTCTGCCCTTTGTCCACCACCACGGCTGTCCTCTGCCCTTTGTCCACCACTACGGCTGTCCTCTGCCCTTTGTCCACCACCACGGCTGTCCTCTGCCCTTTGTCCACCACCACGGCTGTCCTCTGCCCTTTGTCCACCACCACGGCTGTCCTCTGTCCTTTGTCCACCACCACGGCTGTCCTCTGCCCTTTGTCCACCACCACGGCTGTCCTCTGCCCTTTGTCCACCACCACGGCTGTCCTCTGCCCTTTGTCCACCACCACGGCTGTCCTCTGCCCTTTGTCCACCACCACGGCTGTCCTCTGCCCTTTGTCCACCACCACGGCTGTCCTCTGCCCTTTGTCCACCACCACGGCTGTCCTCTGCCCTTTGTCTACCACCACGGCTGTCCTCTGCCCTTTGTCTACCACCACGATGTCAGGTTGGTTCATTACCATTCGGTCGGTCTGTTTCTGGAAGTCCCACAGGATCTTCGTTCATTCTCCACCACCTTTGGAGGAGTTTCTTAGACCTTGGGGTTTCCAGCCCATACTCTGCACAGATGTTTCTGTACACTATGCCAGCCACTTGGTTATGGCGTTCCATGTAGGCCTTCCCTGCCAGCATCTTGCACCCTGCAGTTATGTGTTGGATCGTCTCAGGTGCCTCTTTGCACAACCGACACCTTGGGTCTTGTCTGGTGTGGTATATCTGGGCCTCTATCGCTCTGGTGCTCAGGGCCTGTTCCTGTGCAGCCATGATGAGTGCCTCTGTGCTGTCCTGTAGGCCAGCCCTTTCTAGCCATTGGTAGGACTTCTTGAGATCAGCCACTTCTGTTATGCTCCGGTGGTACATGCCGTGTAGGGGCTTGTTCTCCCATGATGGGCTCTCCTCCAGCACCTCCTCATCTCGCCACTGCCTGAGACATTCACTGAGTACGTCATCCGTTTTGGCCTTCTCCATGATGTAGTTATGGAGTTTGGATGTTTCGTCCTGGACAGTGGCTCTCACACTCACTAGTCCTCGGCCTCCTTCTTTACGGCTTACATACAGTCTCAGGGTGCTGGATTTGGGATGGAACCCGCCATGCATGGTAAGGAGCTTTCGAGTTTTAACATCCGTGGTCTGAATCTCTTCCTTTGGCCACCTGATTATTCCTGCAGGGTATCTGATCACTGGCAGGGCGTAGCTGTTAATTGCCCGGGCCTTGTTCTTGCCATTGAGCCGGCTTCTTAGGACCTGCCTTACTCGCTGGAGGTATTTGGCAGTTGCCGCTTTCCTCGTCACCTGTTCGAGGTTGCCATTTGCCTGTGGTATACCGAGATACTTGTAACTGTCCTCAACGTCTGCTATTGTTCCCTCTGGGAGTGAGATCCCTTCTGTGTGGACTACCTTGCCTCTCCGAGTCACCATCCTGCTACATTTCTCGAGCCCGAATGACATCCCGATGTCATGGCTGTAGATCCTGGTTGTTTGGATCAGAGAGTCGATGTCTCTCTCGCTCTTGGGGTACAGCTTGATGTCATCCATGTAGAGGAGGTGACTGATCTTTGCTCCGTTCCTGAGGCGGTATCCATAGCCAGTCTGGTCAATTACTTACCTGCGGACACTGCAGGAGGAGAGCGCTGTGAGGCCTCTCGTCACCCGCGGACACCTGCAGGAGGAGAGCGCTGTGAGGCCTCTCGTCACCCGCGGACACTGCAGGAGGAGAGCGCTGTGAGGCCTCTCGTCACCCGCGGACACTGCAGGAGGAGAGCGCTGTGAGGCCTCTCGTCACCCGCGGACACTGCAGGAGGAGAGCGCTGTGAGGCCTCTCGTCACCCTCGGACACTGCAGGAGGAGAGCGCTGTGAGGCCTCTCGTCACCCGCGGACACTGCAGGAGGAGAGCGCTGTGAGGCCTCTCGTCACCCTCGGACACTGCGTGAGGCCTCGAGGACACTGCAGGGAGAGCGCTGTGAGGCCTCTCGTCACCCCCGCGGACACTGCAGGAGGAGGAGCGCTGTGAGGCCTCGTCGTCACCCTCGGACACTGCAGGAGGAGAGCGTGTGAGCGCTGTGAGAGCGCTCTCGTCACCCTCGGACACTGCAGGAGGAGAGCGCTGTGAGGATGTGAGTTGAATTTACATATTGTTATTGAGTCAAATATAACATATAGTGACCGACCTTTTAGTTACAAAATAAATCTAGCCTGAAAAGTCATCGTAATTTTGATGGATCAGTTTACGCACGTGTCGTCTTAGTCTTTTATTTCGGCCAGAATTACAATTACTTAGCATATTTAGACAAATAATTTACACAGTTTCATTATGATCACTATTCCTTTGCAACATCAAGTTCTGGTTTAGTGAACAATCAATTTGGCAAAAGGCTGTATCAGCGCAAAATACATAGCGGTCAACTGACCGAAGGGGGCGGTACAAGGTATGTTTAGAGCACGGCGGTCCTAGTGTTAAAGCACAGAGAGAACCATGAAGACAAAGGAACACACCAGGCAGGTCCGAGATACTGTTGTGGAGAAGTTTAAAGCCGGATTTGGATACAAAAAGATTTCCCAAGCTTTAAACATCTCAAGGAGCACTGTGCAAGCAATTATATTGAAATGGAAGGAGTATCAGACCACTGCAAATCTACCAAGACCCGGCCGTCCCTCCAAACTTTCATCTCAAACAAGGAGAAGACTGATCAGAGATGCAGCCAAGAGGCCCATGATCACTCTGGATGAACTGCAGATAACTACAGCTGAGGTGGGGATGGTGTGTTCAGGGTGATGAGCTGTGTTGCTTTTACGCCAAACATATCGTTTTGCATTGTGGCCAAAAGTTTGATTTTGGTTTCATCTGACCAGAGCACCTTCTTCCACATGTTTGGTGTGTCTCCCAGGTGGCTTGTGGCAAACTTTAAACGAGACTTTTTATGGATATCTTTGAGAAATGGCTTTCTTTTTGCCACTCTTCCATAAAGGCCAGATTTGTGCAGTGCACGACTGATTGTTGTCCTATGGACAGACTCTCCCACCTCAGCTGTAGTTATCTGCAGTTCATCCAGAGTGATCATGGGCCTCTTGGCTGCATCTCTGATCAGTCTTCTCCTTGTTTGAGATGAAAGTTTGGAGGGACGGCCGGGTCTTGGTAGATTTGCAGTGGTCTGATACTCCTTCCATTTCAATATAATTGCTTGCACAGTGCTCCTTGAGATGTTTAAAGCTTGGGAAATCTTTTTGTATCCAAATCCGGCTTTAAACTTCTCCACAACAGTATCTCGGACCTGCCTGGTGTGTTCCTTTGTCTTCATGGTTCTCTCTGTGCTTTAAACAGAACCCTGAGACTATCAAAGAGCAGGTGCATTTATACGGAGACTTGATTACACACAGGTGCATTCTATTTATCATCATCAGTCATTTAGGACAACATTGGATCATTCAAAGATCCTCACTGAACTTCTGGACTGAGTTTGCTGCACTGAAAGTAAAGGGGCAGCACGGTGGCTGAGTGGATAGCACTCTCGCCTCTCAGCAAGAAGGTCCTGGGTTCGAATCCCGGCCGGACCAGGGCCTTTCTGAGTGGAGTTTGCATGTTCTCCCCGTGTCTGCGTAGGTTTCCTCCGGGTTCCCCTACCACTAAAAACATGCACAACAGGTCTGGCATGCGCCTCCTGTTCGGCGACCCCGCTCCCATCTCTGTGTGGAGTGAGAAACAAGTGCCCAAGAATAACAATTGTAAACCGCTTTGTGACTCTGGTCTGTGAAAGGCGGTATATAAATAAAGCTTACTTACTATATATATATATATATATATATTAGGGCTGTCCAAAATAGCGCGTTATTAACGCGTTAACGCAAATCAATATTAACGCCGTCATTTTTTTTATCGCGCGATAAAAAAAAAAAAAAAAAAATATATTTTTTTTTTTTTTTTTTTTATTTTTTTTTTACTTTTTATTGCAGACAAACACATAGAAACAAAGAAAAGGACTAGTTCAGATACATTGTAGACAGAGATTACAAACAATATGTAGTTGGAGATACAGGGGGCCAAAGAAGAAACCCAGAAGGGCACATAGGAGGGGGGGGGGGGGGGGGGGACATGAAGTGGGAGATGGGGGGAGGGGTTAATAAAAAAGGCAATACAAGCAAACAGTATACAGTCATAGATATACCGAAGGTAAACAGAGAAACAGCATAGAGTATTTACATGAACAAATTTACAAAATATTTACAGATTGTTTATCATCATCATAATGACACCATGATGTTTCTATACAGTCTATGGTCTATACCCACACATACACACACACACCCACACACACACATTGAAGGGGCTTTTTGTTACCAATTATTTATTTTGTCATCCATTTATTGATGATTTTGCATCAAATGTTAGTGTGTAATATAACACTACACATTGTTTTCAATAAAAAAAGCAATTGCACACAGCACGCAAATGTGTGACTAATTTGCGATTAATCGCGAGTTAACTATGAAATTCATGCGATTAATCACGATTAAATATTTTAATCGTTGGACAGCACTAATATATATATATATAAAATGTGTGTACTGTATACATATTCAAAGGATCAGGTCGATACAGAAATATTTAAACTGGACTTATTTATAAAACACTTCTACTCTTCCAATGGACACGTGTGTGTGTCTGTGTGTGTTTGTCTGTTTGTGCGTGTGTGTTTGTGTGTTTGGGTGTGTGTGTGTGTCTGTGTGTTTGGGTGTGTGTGCGTGTGTGTCTGTGTGTGTTTGTCTGTGTGTTTGGGTGTGTGTGTGTGTGCGTGTGTGTGTCTGTGTGTTTGGGTGCGTGTGTGTGCGTGTGTGTCTGTGTGTGTTTGGGTGTGTGTGTGTGCGTGTGTGTCTGTGTGTGTGTGTGTCTGTGTGTTTGGGTGTGTGTGTGTCTGTGTGTTTGGGTGTGTGTGCGTGTGTGTGTGTCTGTGTGTTTGGGTGTGTGTGTGTGCATGTGTCTGTGTGTGTGTCTGTGTGTTTGGGTGTGTGTGTGTGCGTGTGTGTCTGTGTGTGTGTGTTTGGGTGTGTGTGTGTGTCTGTGTGTTTGGGTGTGTGCGTGTGTCTGTGTGTGTCTGTGTGTTTGGGTGTGTGTGTGTTCGTGTGTGTGTCTGTGTGTGTCTGTGTGTTTGGGTGTGTGTGTGTGCGTGTGTGTTTGTGTGTGTGTGTTTGGGTGTGTGTGTGTGCGTGTGTGTCTGTGTGTGTGTCTGTGTGTTTGGGTGTGTGTCTGTGTGTGTGTGTGTGTGTGTGTGTATGTAATCTGTAATCTTTATTAATATACCGCCTTTTCACTGCACATCAGAGTCTCAAAGCGGTTTACAATTGTTATTTTAATTGTAATTGTGTGTGATATACTGTATGTCCCACAGGTGTCAGCAGAGAGGCTCCTGGTCTTACAGTGTCGCACCATCAGGTAACACATCTGGTTTTACACAGATTACATCATCTTAGCCCCGCCCCCTGTCAATCACCATCACTCACAGAAGATTCTCTCACAGTTCCCTGAATATGTTCTCTACTCTACTCTACTCTACTCTACTCTACTCTACTCTACTCTACTCTACTCTACTCTACTCTACTCTACTCTACTCTACTCTACTCTACTCTACTCTACTCTACTCTACTCTACTCTACTCTACTTTACTCTACCCTACCTGTGCTCAGAGTAGAGTAGAGTAGAGTGTAATGAATGTGATGTTGTCGTTACAGCTAAAGGCCAGTTTCTGACCGAGGGCCTCCACACAGTGATGGAGAAGAGTCCAGAGACCAGTCCCAGACCAAGAGAGACCAGTCCCAGACCCAGGCAGACCAGTCCCAGACCCAGGCAGACCAGTCCCAGACCCAGGCAGACCAGTCCCAGACCCAGACCAAGAGAGACCAGTCCCAGTCCCAAACCCAGGCAGACCAGTCCCAGACATTTGACTTTCATTAGAGGCGTTCTGGATCTCTCAGACCCTGAGACCCAGGACCCTCTGACCCAGGACCCTCTGACCCAGGACCCTCTGACCCGCCTGCAGAAGGCTCTGGCTGAGGTCCAGGGTCCAGACTTAGTCCTGCAGAAGGTGAGCCGCCTGGAGCAAAGATCTGCACATGTGTTTAGATCCATTCATGCTAATATCAGCAACTTATGACACAAATATGTTTCCCTACCAGAGAGAGACTAGAGAGAGACCAGAGAGAGACCAGAGAGAGACTAGAGAGAGACCAGAGAGAGACCAGAGAGAGGCCAGAGAGAGACCAGAGAGAGACCAGAGAGAGACCAGAGAGAGACCAGAGAGAGACTAGAGAGAGACCAGAGAGAGACCAGAGAGAGACCAGAGAGAGACCAGAGAGAGGCCAGAGAGAGACTAGAGAGAGACCAGAGAGAGACCAGAGAGAGACCAGAGAGAGACCAGAGAGAGGCCAGAGAGAGACTAGAGAGAGACCAGAGAGAGAGACCAGAGAGAGACCAGAGAGAGACCAGAGAGAGACTAGAGAGAGACCAGAGAGAGACTAGAGAGAGACCAGAGAGAGACCAGAGAGAGACCAGAGAGAGGCCAGAGAGAGGCCAGAGAGAGACTAGAGGAGAGACCAGAGAGAGAGACCAGAGAGAGACCAGAGAGAGGCCAGAGAGAGACTAGAGAGAGACCAGAGAGAGACTAGAGAGAGACCAGAGAGAGACCAGAGAGAGACCAGAGAGAGACCAGAGAGAGACCAGAGAGAGGCCAGAGAGAGGCCAGAGAGAGACTAGAGAGAGACCAGAGAGAGACCAGAGAGAGACCAGAGAGAGACCAGAGAGAGACCAGAGAGAGGCCAGAGAGAGGCCAGAGAGAGACTAGAGAGAGACCAGAGAGAGACTAGAGAGAGACCAGAGAGAGACCAGAGAGAGACCAGAGAGAGACCAAAGAGAGACCAGAGAGAGACCAGAGAGAGACCAGAGAGAGACCAGAGAGAGAGACCAGAGAGAGACCAAAGAGAGACCAGAGAGAGACCAGAGAGAGACCAGAGAGAGACCAGAGAGAGACCAGAGAGAGACCAGAGAGAGACCAGAGAGAGACCAGAGAGAGACCAGAGAGAGAGACCAGAGAGAGAGACCAGAGAGAGACCAGAGAGAGACTAGAGAGAGACCAGAGAGAGACCAGAGAGAGACCAGAGAGAGAGACCAGAGAGAGACCAGAGAGAGAGACCAGAGAGAGACTAGAGAGAGACCAGAGAGAGACCAGAGAGAGACCAGAGAGAGACCAGAGAGAGAGACCAGAGAGAGAGACCAGAGAGAGACCAGAGAGAGACCAGAGAGAGACCAGAGAGAGACCAGAGAGAGACCAGAGAGAGACCAGAGAGAGACCAGAGAGAGAGACCAGAAAGAGAGCAGAGAGAGAACAGAGAGAGAGACCGGAAAGAGACCAGAGAGTGAGACCAGAGAGAGAAACCAGAGAGAGACCAGAGAGAGACTAGAGAGAGACCAGAGAGAGACCAGAGAGAGCAGAGAGAGAACAGAGAGAGAGAGACCAGAAAGAGACCAGAGAGAGAGACCAGAGAGAGACCAGAGAGAGACTAGAGAGAGACCAGAGAGAGACCAGAGAGAGACCAGAGAGAGAGACCAGAGAGAGACTAGAGAGAGACCAGAGAGAGACCAGAGAGAGACCAGAGAGAGACCAGAGAGAGACCAGAGAGAGACCAGAGAGAGAGACCAGAGAGAGACCAGAGAGAGACTAGAGAGAGACCAGAGAGAGACCAGAGAGAGACCAGAGAGAGAGACCAGAGAGAGACCAGAGAGAGAGCAGAGAGAACAGAGAGAGAGACCAGAGAGAGACCAGAGAGAGACCAGAGAGAGACCAGAGAGAGACCAGAGAGAAACCAGAGAGAGACCAAAGAGAGAGACCAAAGAGAGAGACCAGAGAGAGAGACCAGAGAGAGAGACCAGAGAGAGAGACCAAAGAGAGAGACCAGAGAGAGAGACCAGAGAGAGAGAACAGAGAGAGAGACCAGAGAGAGAGACCAGAGAGAGAGAGACCAGAGAGAGAGACCAGAGGGAGACCCACCTTGGTCCAAGGAGAGAGAATCAGTCAAATGAAAAGGATAAGGACAAGAATGACTCATAACGAGGAGAACCAGGAAGAGTCTATACCATCAGCAGCAGCTCAGGGAGGAGTGACAACACAGTACAGGACTAGAACGAGTTCTGTGAGTAACATATCTCTCCCTAAAGCCTGACTCTCCACAGACGGGACACCAGGAGGACCAGGAGGACCAGCAGAGGACCAGAAGAGAGAAGGACCAGGAGAGGAGCAGAAGAGAGAAGGACCAGGAGAGGAGCAGAAGAGAGAAGGACCAGGAGAGGAGCAGAAGAGAGGAGGACCAGGAGAGGAACAGCAGAGAGGAGGACCAGGAGAGGAACAGCAGAGAGGAGGACCAGGAGAGGAGCAGAAGAGAGGAGGACCAGGAGAGGAACAGCAGAGAGGAGGACCAGGAGAGGAACAGCAGAGAGGAGGACCAGGAGAGGACCAGCAGAGAGGAGGACCAGGAGAGGAACAGGATCCACACAGGCCAAGACAAGACCAGGTCAGGAATCATTTAAAAAGGACTGGTAAAATACATTACAATTTCTAAAAATGTATTTTGTTATTTTGTTGTTTAGTTGTTTAGTTGTGTATCTCTCTAAATCACAACAGCTTTTGTTGTTGATTCAGACAAAAGAGAATAAAACTGAGTTTGTCAGAACCATGTGGGTCCCAGTGCTGAGCCCTGTGGTACTGTACTATAAAGCAATAACCATGTGGGTCCCAGTGCTGAGCCCTCTGGCACTGTACTATAAAGCAATAACCATGTGGGTCCCAGTGCTGAGCCCTGTGGTACTGTACTATAAAGCAATAACCATGTGGGTCCCAGTGCTGAGCCCTGTGGTACTGTACTATAAAGCAATAACCATGTGGGTCCCAGTGCTGAGCCCTGTGGTACTGTACTATAAAGCAATAACCATGTGGGTCCCAGTGCTGAGCCCTGTGGCACTGTACTATAAAGCAATAACCATGTGGGTCCCAGTGCTGAGCCCTGTGGCACTGTACTATAAAGCAATAACCATGTGGGTCCCAGTGCTGAGCCCTGTGGTACTGTACTATAAAGTAATAACCATGTGGGTCCCAGTGCTGAGCCCTGTGGCACTGTACTATAAAGCAATAACCATGTGGGTCCCAGTGCTGAGCCCTGTGGTACCGTACTATAAAGCAATAACCATGTGGGTCCCAGTGCTGAGCCCTGTGGCACTGTACTATAAAGCAATAACCATGTGGGTCCCAGTGCTGAGCCCTGTGGTACTGTACTATAAAGCAATAACCATGTGGGTCCCAGTGCTAAGCCCTCTGGCACTGTACTATAAAGCAATAACCATGTGGGTCCCAGTGCTGAGCCCTCTGGCACTGTACTATAAAGCAATAACCATGTGGGTCCCAGTGCTGAGCCCTGTGGTACTGTACTATAAAGCAGTATCCTGTAAGTTTATGTCACCGTCTCCACTGTAGTGAAAGGGACAGAGGTCTAAACAACACGCCAATGTTTCCCACTGCTGCTCTGGGTCAAAAACACAGAGAAACGCTGGAAAAAAATCTACATCTTTGTTTTTCTCAGATCCATCGATCTGTGGACGGACGAAGGCTCCGGAGGACTGAGGGAGAGGGGGGAGAGGGGGGAGAGGGGGGAGAGGGAGAGAGGACGGACCAAGACACAACGTACGTCTCAGTCCCTCAGTCCTCCCCCATCTCCCCCTCTCACCCTTCTCCCTCAGTCCTCTCTCCCTCCCCCATCTCCCCCTCTCACCCTTCTCCCTCAGTCCTCTCTCCCTCCCCCATCTCCCCCTCTCCCCCTTCTCCCTCAGTCCTCTCTCCCTCCCCCATCTCCCCCTCTCACCCTTCTCCCTCAGTCCTCTCTCCCTCCCCCATCTCCCCCTCTCACCCTTCTCCCTCAGTCCTCTCTCCCTCCCCCATCTCCCCCTCTCACCCTTCTCCCTCAGTCCTCTCTCCCTCCCCCATCTCCCCCTTCTCCCTCAGTCCTCTCTCCCTCCCCCATCTCCCCCTCTCCCTCCCCCCTCTCCCTCCCCCCTCTCCCTCCCCATCCCCATCTCCTCCTCACCCTTCTCCCTCAGTCCTCTCTCCCTCCCCCCTCTCACCCCTCTCCCTCCCCCCTCTCCCTCCCCCATCTCCTCCTCTCACCCTTCTCCCTCAGTCCTCTCTCCCTCCCCCCTCTCACCCTTCTCCCTCCCCCCTCTCCCTCCCCCCTCTCACCCTTCTCCCTCAGTCCTCTCTCCCTCCCCCATCTCCCCCTCTCACCCTTCTCCCTCAGTCCTCTCTCCCTCCCCCCTCTCCCTCCCCCCTCTCACCCTTCTCCCTCCCCCCTCTCCCTCCCCCCTCTCCCTCTCCCATCTCCTCCTCTCACCCTTCTCCCTCCCCCCTCTCCCTCCCCCATCTCCTCCTCTCACCCTTCTCCCTCAGTCCTCTCTCCCTCCCCCCTCTCCCTCCCCCCTCTCACCCTTCTCCCTCAGTCCCCAGAAGGAGGTCAGGACCAAAGACGCCTCTTGCAGTAGTCCTGACCCTCCGGACTCCCTCTGGACCCCCAGCGCACGCCCGGATCTGCGGCCGCAAGCGGCTAACGTGGGCCCAGAGGAGCAGGTCCTTCTCGGAGCCAGAGAGCATGAACGAGGTCGGCCTGAAGCGAGCGGCGAATGGTATGATACAGTTTGGTTTTGTACGGCACAAAATGGCCCCAAAAAAGCAGATTTATTTTTAAATGTGTCAAAGGATCCGACTGGAACAGGAACTGCCAAAACAAATAATATATATTACTATTTTAAAATATTATAATACATATAATATATCATTATATGCAATATTATTATTATTATTATATTATAATATATATATATATATAATATTAAAATATTATAATACTTATAATAAGATATATATAATATTATAATATGATTTAAGTTTATTTTAGTGCAAAGAAAAGTGCAAAGTCTTAGATCCCAGTCCATCCACCTGCAGGAGGGGCAGGAGGGGCAGGAGGGGCAAGAGGGGCAGGAGGGGCAGGAGGGGCAGGAGGGGCAAGAGGGGCAGGAGGGGCAGGAGGGGCAGGAGGGGAGAGGGCAGGAGGGGCAGGAGGGGCAGAGGGGCAAGAGGGGCAAGAGGGGCAGGAGGGGCAAGAGGGGCAAGAGGGGCAGGAGGGGCAGGAGGGGCAGGAGGGGCAAGAGGGGCAGGAGGGGCAAGAGGGGCAAGAGGGGCAGGAGGGGCAAGAGGGGCAAGAGGGGCAGGAGGGGCAGGAGGGGCAGGAGGGGCAGAGGGGAGGGGCAAGAGGGGCAGGAGGGGCAGGAGGGGCAGAGGGGCAAGAGGGGCAGGAGGGGCAAGAGGGGCAAGAGAGGGGCAGGAGGGGCAAGAGGGGCAGGAGGGGCAGAGGGGCAAGAGGGGCAAGAGGGGCAGGAGGGGCAGGAGGGGCAGGAGGGGCAAGAGGGGCAAGAGGGGCAGGAGGGGCAGGAGGGGCAGGAGGGGCAAGAGGGGCAGGAGGGGCAAGAGGGGCAAGAGGGGCAAGAGGGGCAAGAGGGGCAGGAGGGGCAAGAGGGGCAAGAGGGGCAGGAGGGGCAGGAGGGGCAAGAGGGGCAAGAGGGGCAAGAGGGGCAAGAGGGGCAAGAGGGGCAAGAGGGGCAGGAGGGGCAAGAGGGGCAAGAGGGGCAGGAGGGGCAGGAGGGCTGCTGGAGACAGGCTTGAGAAGGGAAACATGGGAAATAGGGTCAGCACTACACGGCACTATACGGCACTGCACGGCTGTGTGTGAGTGCTTTTCCATTAAGACTAGTTCCTCCAAGTTGGCTGTTTACATATAAAAGAAGGTTTAATGTAAGCAGAAAACAGGCTAAGCAGCCTGGGTCAGCGCTAGATGTAGAAGCAGAGTGACCAAGAGTGAACAAAGGAGCTCTGGTCTTATACCAGTCTAACCAAAAGCAGATGTCTTCGGCTTCCTGCTTATTTAAACTAGTCTTTCACTCATGACTGGGGGATGGGAGAATGCTGCCGTCCCATCACACACAGAGGTTAACCCAAAGCTGTCTAAACTTTGAATAAATTCATTCACTTTAATGAAAATCCAACAACTCCACTATCTCTAGTGTATAGTCGCACGGCGCGGAGCTTACGGAGGTGACGTCACCGCAAGGCCCTTACGTCGCCTGCCGCGCAGCATCGACATTTTCTAACTACGTAAGGGTTGCCGCAAGGAAGCTCCGCTGTGATTGGTCCGTGTGTGTTTTGGAAGGAAGCACAGAGCGGCTGCAGCAGGAACATGGACGAGGCACTTCAGAGCAGAGAGCTTTGTACTTCGAAGGAACCGAAAGAAAAGCAGTTTGGGCTCAGAGCCTGATATACAGGAGACTGTGGACTATCTAACATATACAGTATATAACTTATCTCTAACATATATATAACTTATATCTAACATATAAACTGTTCCTGTCTGTTTGAATCGTGGCTTATCGCGTCTGTTCCATTCCTCCTGCACTTGTAAATTGTTCATGTTTGCCTCAGATATTTACCACTACAATTTAATAATAACTATGTTTCCAACAGAACTGTGTCTTTATTCACAACACAGTTAAATGAGTTCAGAAATAATGAGTCCATAGAACTGTCACATGAACCTACAGTAGAAACACATGTAATGATCTCAAACAGCTCGGTTTGTTCATGTTTTTGTTCTGAAGAGGAGAAAGAAGCAGCGTAAATGAGACCGCTTTGGTTTCTCAAGCAACTCCTGTGAGATCGCCATCATGTGGTTGGTTGTGGGATTACAACATTCTCTTCAAAACTCCGCAAGGAGTATAACACAAATTGTGCTTGCGTAAGTCCACCGCAACCGCTAACGTAAGCAGCGCCGCGACCACCACCACCAACATCCTCATCCCCAGCCTGCTCCAAAGCAGCCACGCCTTCTTCATCTACAGCGCCTCTGAAGCCCCCATCCTCACCCCAGCCTACAGCAGACAGGCCTGTGCTGGGGTTTCCTCAACCACCTGCCCCTCCATCAAAGACTCCCTCGCCACCTCCCAAGGACCTGTCTTGGGTCCCCCCTGCCACGTCCACTCCATCAAGAGAGAATGGGGACACGTCTCTTTGTTTTTCATCCCCGCCTTCACTGTTAGACCTACCTGAACACTCTGCAGGGCTAATAAAATCGGCGATGAAGACTATTCCTCTCACACCCATATTAGCTCGATCTAGAGTCCTGTCCAACATTCTAAACCACTCCCCATATGTACCTCCAAAACCACCTAGGGTTTCCAATTCACCTACAAAAACCACCTCAGCCAGTCCCTCCCCTAACCTCATGACCATTCCACCTCCCTGCCCCCCTCGTTCAACATCCAAAACCTCTGCCTCAGCCCACCCCGGCCCTAACCCATCACCAAAAACCCCTCCACCTCCCTGCCCCCCTCGTTCAACACCCAAAAGCCACCCACCTTTCCATCCTCCTCCCCTGCCTTCCCCTTCCCCTCTTTTCTCTAAACACTAGGATGCACAGGGTCTCTGCTTCGCAGCCACTGGCAGTCTAGTTAGAGGAGAGACCCGGCTGGGGCCCTGTCATGAAGCCACCTGTGCCATTCCCTTAGTGATAACACAAAGAATACATTACAGAAAAACATCTGGAGTTAATCAGTCTAATCAGGAAAATCTAATTCTTGTTCCGTGTAAGAATCAGCCGACCACAACCGCTGATACTGAAAGACATGCACAAAAGTCTGCACATGGTGGGTCTAAAACGACCGGTTCGGCGAAAACAAACGTTTCGAGATTAACCGACAAACGGCGACACGATAGCGCCCCCTGGACATGTCAAATTTTCAAAGCCTATGGGAGCCAGGCATGCATATTTTGGAGTAGATACACAAAATTCAGATGAGTGATAGATCTCTATGAGACGAGCATAAAAGCCGGTCTAAGCACATGTCTGGGACCAACAGGAAGTCGGCCATGACGGGCTGAAGTTTCGCCACTAATTTGACTTTTCATTTTTAACTTCGAACTAGTCCCTGGTTTTTCATCACACTGAGTTCTTCCACGTCATTTTCCAATCTGGACGGATTGAAGTAATAAAAAGTTAGAAATAGAAAATAGAAAACCGTCTTCGTCCCTCGCCATGGCGAATAAGGCCTTCGTTTTGGCCATTTTCGCTGAGCCCTGAGGGCCACAGGCTCAGACCTACAGAGCTGAGACTCACATCAGTAATATTAGGTTATGGCCTGAACGCAATGACACTAAAATCATTCGCCCAATATGAGCTCTTTAGCGCCACCTGTTGGAAAGTAATAGGGCACTAGTGCTCGGATCGGCCCGAAAATCGCTGAGTGTATTCTCTGGACCGAGACGAGCAAAAAATTACATTGCGTTGTAAGTCCTACACCTGACCACTGGGGGCGCCGGAAAGTGAATGAATTAGCTTTTTGGGGCAAAATGTTTGTCAGATGAGGCACTTTATCCTATTAATGAGCTTTTATGTACGTAATCCAGGAAAAAAAAAAATTATTTATTTATTTATTTATTTTTTCTTCTGCACTTTGAGCCTTAAAGCTGCACTAACTGACTTTGGGATTTTGAAGCCGCGGACTCGCTGGCCTCTCTCTTTCTGCTCCCCTCCCCGCACCCACGAAGCTATCGCCCCACACACACACTCACTGTTGACAGAGCTAGCGTCTCCCAATATGGATAATACATGGATATGGATTTGCACGTGGATGGCGTGACCATAGAACGATAGAACCGGGAAGCGCAGAGGAACGGGACTTTCTTTTGGAGCTGTTTCGCTGTGTAAGCAGTAACCGGTGACGAAGACGAGGAAGTTTCAGGTTAGCTCCTCGGCTTGTTGTGCTAACTCAGCCGTCTATGCTAACTCAGCCGTCTATGCTAACAGACCTGTAGATTTCTCACAAAAGTGGGGGCTAGTGGTCCGCTGTGATTGGTCACAATCCGCGACCCGAAACACATTCTCTTCCTTGTTTCATCAAAACTCGATCTAAAATATAATGTCACGCCAGCACAAATCTGCGCTACTTTTTCGTCAAAAGGACATATATCCCAATGCCCTACATGGACATGGATAGCATTTTCGTAATGAATACAAAAATAAAGTCAGTTAGTGCAGCTTTAATGTCACCCCCTGAACATGCATGAAAAGTTGTTAATTTTGGCCCAAAAATCAGACCTGGCAAAAAATGTGATATTTTGGTGTTTATTTTTATGGGACTCAAAAAATGCCAGAACAGCGCCACCTACAGCCAAAATAATACCCCTATGGGACTTTTCGGAGGTCAAGTTTGTCGTAGAAACTGATTTTCACCGATTCATCACTCCACATCCTCTCAACACATGTACCATCAAAAGGACATCAGGGAATTTTGATCAGTGAAACGTTGTTTGAGCAGCGGAGCGCCACAAAGTGGCGTCTTTTTTAAAAGTTTTTGACAATAGAAAATTTGCTTCCGTTTGCACAAACAAAGTCTGATTTGCACAAAACTTGAATCCATGGTTCAACTCTTGGGTCTAGGTCATTTGAAAGTTATAATTTTGAAATTGGCTCTATAGCGCCACCTACAACAGCCAATTTAAAAATGCCTATGGGTGGGGTTTGAGGTCAAAATTGTCGTAGAGCCATGTAATTTGGTACACATGTTCCTCAAGTCAAGACATGGAAAAAATGTTATTATGGATAAGCCCTCTGACAAACAGAGGGCTTGAAAAGCAATCATTTTCATACCTGTCGCTTGGAAAGCGACTCCTCCTCGGCCGTTTCACCGATTGGCCTCAAAATTTTTCAAATCATCTCAACACATTTACCTTCAAAATGACTTGAGGGAATTTTGATCAGTGAAACGTTGTTTGAGCAGCGGAGCGGCAAAATGTGAGGGTTTTTTGATAACATAATTTTTTTTCCCGTTTGCACAAACAAAGTATGATTTGCATTAAACTTGAATCCATTGTTCAACTCCAGGGTTTAGATCATTTGAAAGTGAAATATTTAAAATTGGCCCATTAGCGCCCCCTAAAGACTGAGTCAAAGTTTACATGGGGAGCCATACCAGCTCTACTTATCATATTCATTACAATTTGACAAACAATCTTCTATGACTACGGGAACAAATCCTCACACGGCGGCGCCACCTCCTTTGAGCGGTGCTGCGTGGTACGGTGTGGTGCGGCGTAGTGCGGGGCGTTGTGGAGCGGCGCGTTGCGGCTTGGTGCGGCTTGGTGCGGGGCGGAGTGATGCGGGACAGCGTGGTGCAGGGTGGCTTGGTGCGGGGCGGAGTGATGCGGGACAGCGTGGTGCAGGGCGGCGTGGTGCGGGGTGGCGTGGTGCGGGGTGGTGCGCGCGGTGCGGGGCGTTGCGCGGTGCGGCGAGGGCCGTTCGACGCCGCTTGCGGCTTTAATTTTATTTGTTCTTATAATCTTGATCTTATGTTCATGACTGAAACTTGGCTTGACCAAAATTCAGGAAATGCAGTTTTAATAGAAGCATCACCACCAAATTTCAAATTTGAATCTGAAATACGGGAAAACAAAAGGAGGAGGCTTAGCTGCCATTTTTAGAGACCACTTTGTCTCCCATAGAATGTCTCTTGGGAAGTTTTCGTCATTTGAATATGTGTCTTTTAAAATACAACAAAAACAATCTCCTCCAATACTCTTCGTTGTCCTATACAAGCCACCGCAGTCATGTTAGTTTTATTAGTCAGTTTTATTGATAATTTTACCGAGTTGCTTTCAGTTGTATGCACATGTAACCCAGGTCTTTTCCTCTGATCCTCATTGATTCCCAGACAGTTCATTGGCCCCGCCACTGATGGCGCTGTAGTTAAAGTATGGCCGTCAGGCTAATGCACGGTCTGGCTACTTCCTGTTAGCCCTTCCCTGTGTGGCAGTCTAGCTGAAAGCGTCTGTAACTAACAGAAAACTGATCAGAAAACTTCCAGCATTCAGCGGTGAGTTGCTCATGGTTATATTCATTCATTCTGGCCACTCTGTTTGCGCCGACGTATTTTAAACATGTGTACTTTGTAAAGTTAACTATTTCCGCATTACTCGCGATCCGGTTTTTGCAGCTTTAAAAGTGTTTCTCACCACTCAAACCTCATCAAATACAATAAATGACCCGGTATACTTGTAGTACACAAGTAAAGACACCATTCACATCACCAGTTTTACAAAAGATTGTTTTGATTGTTTGTAATTTGAGTTTAAAGAGCGGAGTCTGTTAGAGCTCCATATGATAATGAGCTACGGCTGTAGTAGTCACATGACCGACCTTGTATTGCGCAATATTGATTTAGATTTATGAATGATGCATCAAATGATTTTTATTTTTATAAACATTTAATGGAAACTGATTATTTTGTATGGTACTGTATTTTTGGGACCAAATGCTGATTATTTATGGTGGTTTTTTCCTTTTTGACCTTTTGTTTTTAGGTCAGGTTTTTTTCCACCCTGAACCAGAACTGAATTAAAATTCCTCTTTTGAGGTGGCGAGCTGAGCCCAGAAGCCTGCAACTGGTAGGACCTTTATTTTTTTCCCCAATACGTGGACACTTTGAGTTTGGACACCTTTCCCCCCTGGAATGAAGGATTATTGTTTTTTTATGAAAGGAATCTACTTTGTTTTCTACAAACTTTCTAACCGTAACTGAACTTTCCTCTCAACCGAGAGTTTCGAACTGAGCACTATTAAAAAGGGTTTTTTCCCCATGGTTGGGTTTTCCCTTTACATCTTATTTTGAGAATTCTTTTTTTGTTTCCTTTTTTTTTTTTTTGCACACTTTGAATATTGAACTTTGTTTTTGAAATATATTGGTTATATTTATTGATTGCTTGTTTTCCACTTCTATCTTCTACTCACAAAAAAGAAACATTTACAAATACAATATTTTTTATTCCGTTACTCCGTCTCCCTGGTCCTCATTCCCACAAGCTCCTCTCACGTATTTAGTTTCTTTCTGTCAGTCAGTCTTAGTTTCCTTGCATCCCTTAGCTCCTAACCTAATTGTTTGTTATTCACTTACTTTAAAACCCCATACCCTCACAAATTATACTTCCCCATTCAACCATCCCCAACCCCAACCCCCCAAAAACAAAAACACAAAAAAAAATACAACTCCCCACCAATCCTAATATCAAAAATACCTTCTTCAACCCCCCCCCCCCCCCCCCCCCCATATCAAAACCCCCCCTCACCTCTCACCCCCCCCTAACCCCCCCCCCCCTTCATCCCATCACCTCCCCCCCCAACTACCTAAAACCATCTTTATACAAAATCCATCCCCCAAATACCCAAACCCCCTCCATTCAACCTAAATTCCACATCACTCCTACAACATCATTACATCCCCCCCCCCCCCTCCACCATTACCTTCCCCCTCCTCCCCTCTCCCCCCCCAAAAACTTATCAAACCCCCCTTATAAACCCCTTCCACATTACCCCATAATTACACATTACATCCACACCCCCTTTTACTCTCCCCTCCCCCCACCCCTCACTATCCTCAAAAAATTTAACCCCTCCCCCTCCCTCCCTCCCCATCTTCCAACTCCATCCTCTTCCCCACATCATCACCATAATCATCACCCCTAATCATCCAACACCCCACATATCACCTCACCACCCCCCCCCCCAATCTCTAGGATCCTACCCATTCTCCCTATATTTCTCTCATAATCCACCAGTAACATTATAACACCCCAGTAACCCCCTAATACATTTAAGTAAAATGCCTCCAACAACCCCCCCATAATCAAATAAACCCTATCCCCATAAAATCCCTACCTAACCCCCTAGCCAACAACCCCCCCTCCACACATTAATATCCAATATAGCAAATTATCCCCTACCATATCCCCACCTTACTTTATAGACCCGTTGAATAAACACTAACCCCATAATCACCCCCACTTATTCATCAGACCCCTACCTATTTGTAAACCATTGAAAAAAACACTCTACCCATATATTTACCCTTTCCTTCTCTCCCCTCTAACACCAACCTGTCCCAAAAACCCACCTCCAATACTACCCCTCCGCAGTTCCCTCAAACAACCCACTATAATCTCCATTACTACATCCCCATGAGATAAATAATGTCTTAGTAAAATCACAACACTCGTCCACCTCTTCCTGCTCATCCAGCTTCCCACCGTATCCCACCATATAAACAACTTAACGATAACTCTCCACAGATGATATGCTTTTCCCAAGTCTCGCCCATGATACCCTCTAGACACTATAATTATTCAAACACCGTTACTAGCACCCGACCGACATAAAACAACCTGGAGCCCCAATCCAAAGAAAGTGACCCTATAATGAACGTCTCACGCCATATGAGCACCGTGCACTAATAGGACTTCCAAAACTAAGCTTATACTTCTACTAATCAATAATTGATACCTTTAAGAAGTTCCCATACGCTGAATGTACAACCACCTACAAACCCACAAACGACCCCTCCAACAAATAAAAAAAACATAGCTACACTAGTTAAAACAATAAAAAATCATGAGAAACTCTCTGTTTAAATTTCCCCAAATACACGGTACCAACAGGATGAGCCCATGTGGACCGGGGCATGCCCTATGCAATGAACCAAACAGCAGAATGATATACTTGCGCCCTGCAGAGTAGTTTTAAAGAAAACATATCCCATCTTAAAACTCCACCCCCACCCCCCCCCCCCAATCACTAAAAAACCAAACCACATAAAAATTAAACAAATCTATATCCCCCCCAAAACTTCCACCAAACCCAATCCACTTACTAAACCCAATCCCCTCATTTTCCCCCCCCACTAACTCAATCAGATTTATTCCCAACTCCTTTTACCCTCTATCACCCCCCTTCTCCCCCTTTTATTTAAAACTCTTTCTTATTCCACTTCCACATATATTACAAACATAATTCCCATCCCCTCTTCCCCTCTCTCCTACCTACATACCCCATACCCCATACCCAACTCCATTTCATCTTTCATATTCCCATTCTTTTTTTCAATTTCATTTCCATCTTCATTTCCATTTCATTTCCATCTTCCATTCCATCTTTCATTCCCCTCCCATTTCAACCCCCCCACCAACCTCAAAACACACCAACAACCCACCCACACAACCACACACTAACCCACTCACAACACCCACCCCACAACAACAACACCCACACAAACACCAAACCAAAACCAACAACTACAACCAACCACACAACCAACCACACCAACCAACCCACACAAACACACAACACAACCCAAACCAAAACCCAAATACCTACCACCACAACCAACCCACACACAAACCACCCCCCCCAAAATAAACAACCACCAAACCCCCAAGCCCCCCCACAACCACCCTACCAACCCAACCCCCACCACACCACACCACACAACCAACAACCAAACAAACAACACAACCCCAACACACACCACACACACACCAACCAACTATAAACCCATTAATATACACCCCCCCCTAACCCCCCACCAACAAAATACCACACAAATTACAATTAAACACTTACTATTAACCCCACCTTATAACACCCATCCTATCACTACCCTACCTCGATAGAATTAATCCCATTAATCCCCTTCCAAACCATTTACACAAAAAAATTATCCCTAAATCCCTTCACTTTCCTCCCCCTCACACCCCCCCTTACCTCCTCTCACCTCCCTTATTATTCCCTTTTCAACCTACCCCCCTACAAAACATCCCCCCCTCCCAAAAAAATTTACCTTCTCACCCTTCCCCCCCCCAACATCCTTCCCCCAAAAACCCAAAATTAAATAATCACCCTCAAACCAAATCAACCCCCGCTTCAATTCAATCCCCACCCTTCAATCCTTAAATCTCAATAAACCAATCTAATACCCTACCCCCTCATTACCATCCCTACACATCACCCCCATACCACCAAAACAACCACCAACCATCACACCAAACAACAAATTTTACACCAACACACACATCACAAATCCCCACACACACACACACAAACCCCCCCAAAACCAATTACTCCCCATCCTCACCCTAAAAAATACCCCCCACACCCCCCTCTCACAATTCCCCCCACTCACCCCCCACCATCATTTTAATTTCTTCACCAACAAATTTACCACACAATTACACAGAACTTTCACATAATCAAACAAAAATTAAACACAAATTACACAAAATACAAATTACACCCAATTATATAACATTCCACACAAAATTACACACATTTAAACAAACACAACCATTACCACCCCAAAACACCCAATCACACAAACTACTCCCCACCCAACAAACCCAAACATCCACAACACATTACAATAATTAAAACCACCCGACACCTTAAATTAATTCCTGCCACTGTCAAAAACCCTATTTTATAATACATAACTCCCTATTTCAAATTCACACCAGATGTTAGCAGTATAACTATTCACATAACCCTACAATCCCCTACAGACCTACCAGCATATTCCTAATACAATATACTTCGTTCTCATCCTATCCTATATCCCCAAACATTGCCTTTCCCCCTACTAAATCCCCCACACGACTATCCAAGATGGCCATCCACCACACAATAATAAAACGTAGAATAAAACCGAATCTCTAAACATTTATATCCATCATCCTGCATTAGAATTTCCTTATAGAAATTTCCTTCCCTCCTTAAATTCATTCCCTCAACAAAAAGTCTTCTCTCGAGCAATATCTCCCTACATAGCTACCTCTCTACCCCCTCTCGCTCCAATAGTAACTATTACCCAATGCTCTCCTATCTTGCCCCTAACTCTATACTCTAGAGATACATGTCATGCTGCTCTATCCTCTCTCTTCCCTAACTATATACCATCGTCCCCATGCTCCTCTCACCTCCTTATCCCCTCTATCTCGCCTCAATATTCCATACTATCTCTCATCTTCTACTTTCCTTCCATCTCCTAACAAAGAATAAACCCCCTAACAACAACTAAACCTTTCCAGCCCAAATAAATTTTCAATACTTGTACCTCTGATTATTAAGGTTACGTCTGTGCCACCCCCATTCCCCACAACTTCGACCCCGCTACCATTTCCCGGTTTCCCATCGTCCACCATGTCTTGACAAACCTCCATCCGTGCAGAAGCATCCACCCGTCCCCCCCCCTATTCTTTTTACACTCTTCATCCCTGATATCTAACCCCTTAATGCCTTTTACATCCACGTCATACAACCCCAAAATAAACAAAAATACCAGTCCCAAAACCATCACCCCTCATCATAGGACAAAACACAACACAGTACCCCATTAGATGTGTCACCCACACCTTAACCTTCCAGACTACCCCCAGCAACACATGATATATTATTCCCAAAATCTACAACCTAAACAACCCCACTCTACCCTCTTCTCCTCTCTCTCCTTCTTTACCCTCTCTAGCGACCTCTATGCGCTCGCATCTCTCTCTCCTAGATCTCCCCCTATCTCTCCATTATCTCTATCCCCCTCCTTCTCTCCCCCCCCATCTATCTCTCCCCTATTCCTCTCCCATCTCTATTTCCTATAATCCCGCTTCATGAAATCACAAAAGCAAACCACCCCATTACTAAGATTCCGGACTTCATCTTCCACCCTCATTCTTTCTTTCCTTTAACCTTCAAATTACTTATTCACCTTCCTTTTCCCTAACTTTCACCATTCCTAATTCCTTAATTCACCCTTCTATTTTACATACTTAATTCTTCTCCTTCTCCATCCCATCCCCTCCCTACCTCTTCTCCCACCCCCTCTATCCCTATATAATTATGGATCCTACCCCCTATCATTATCATATTAAACCTACCATACCATCCTCCTTCCCTTATTCTGTCGAACATCCACCTCCAATGAAAATCCAACCCAAAACCCCAAACCCTTCCCATTTGTCTTTCCCCCTTTACCTCCATAGTCCCCTAACATCATCCCATATAGAACCTAATTACACCACTATACCCCCTTATATATCCTTAAACCAACTACTACTCATAACCTTTTAAACCATAACTCTCTACCTTAAAATATAAAACACTCCCACTCCATATATTCTCTTCTACAACTCAACCCCTAACAACCATCATCACCACAAACCAACCCCCAAATTATAACCCTAATATACAATAATTATCAAAATTACATCCCTATTTCCCCCCTATCCCCCCATTAAAATTTTCACAAAAAAAACTACCCCCACCCCCCTTACTTACACAAATATTCCCTATAATACTATACAACATAAAACCCTCCTTTCCAACAACCAAATACCCCCCCCCTCCTACCCACAACAATCACTATCATCTCCCCCCCCCACCCCCCATACATCCCTAATAACATATCAAATAACCTCCATCAACCCCAAATTCCCTCCTATAACTCACACCATCAATACATCAAACAACCCTCTCAAAATCCCTCTTTCCCTCCTATTCCCAATTCCCCAAACCCTTCTCTCATCTACTATACCACACCTCTAATCACTCCCCCATCCCCTCCACCCCCTCTCCTACCACATATCCCAAAATATAAAAAAATCCTACTTTTAATACAATAACTATAACCCTTCACAACCACAACCCACAAAACATCATCCCCCAAACCCCCCACAAAAACCTCATTCCCACCATAACTCCATATAATCATACAACCTATCCATTTCCTCCATAATAACATTAAAACATTACCAACAATTACCCACACAATTACAACCAATTAACACCAATTAACCAAATAAACCAATACCAACCCCAAAAATCACACCCCATACCCCCCTAAACCCACTTAAAAAATTAACACCACACATTACCCAAAAGTACACAATTAAACCACAATTACCCACAAACCATTACAAACCCACTAACCATCTAAATCTCCCCCCCACTACCCAACTTCTTTCATAAAACCACCAATCCATACTCTCATATAAATCAAAATCATTATAATTATATCATCATCATACCCTACTACCACAACCCCTACACTTCTCCTATAACTACCCTACCTTAAAAATCCCCAACCTCTCCTCCCCACAACCTCTCCCCACCTCTCTTTTCCCCAAGCAGAACCCCCAACCCCTCCACCCATCACATATCCTAATCCCTAATTTTTCATTCTTTACCTTCAACCCCCAACTATTATAATTCACCTAATAACCTTCCCATCCCTCCTCATTTCTCTCATTCACAGACCCCACACCCCCACCCACCATCATCCACCCCAAAACTTTCAACCCCTATACCAAACCTATCCCACCCCCCAAAAACAATCCCCCTCCCAACCCTTCACACCTTTCAGTACTGATCATATACCATGAAAATTATACTTTTTTCACTTACTAAATTACACCCTCTAACCCCTCCCCCCTACTTCCTATCTTCTCTCCTCACTATCCCAACCTATAACACCACCACCCACCCCCACCACACAAACTACAACCTAAATCTCCTCTCTTTCCTCTCACCCTACATCTCTCTCCGCTTCTCTCCCCTCTCTCTCTCTCTTCTCACCTCTTTTCACTTCTCTCTCCCTCTCCTATCTCCTCACTCCTCCCCTTCTATCCTATCTCTCCCCCCTCTTAATCTCTCCTCACTCTCCCCCCCACCCATCCCTCCTATCTTCCTATCTAATCGAGTCATTCTCACTCTTATCTATCTCTAATATAAACCTCCTATCTCCCCCTCTCTCCATATATCCCACTATGCTACTCTGCTCCATCTGGTCTCGCCATATCTCCCTCCTCTCTATGCGATACTCTCACTCTCTATCCTATCTCCCTCCCTATTCTATGTAATCTCTATCCTCTATTCTTGATTATCGAGCCCACTCTCTCTTCCTCTCCCCCCTATCTCCCTTACTATCTCTCTGCTCCACCATCTCTCATCATCTGAGCCATATATATCAACCCTCTCTCACATCTCATATTACTTTATATAGACCATTATCTGATACTCGCCTACATCCACAATATTGCAAGCCGAAAAACAAAACACATAATCCATCAACAATCCGCATAACCCCATAAACTCAACACATAACCCACATCCCTCAAAAAACTCCAAATCTAAACTACTATCATCCCCTCAAACTACACTATCCACCCCCCCCTCCCACCTCCCCTCCAACCAATATCCCCCCTCATCCCCCCCCCTCCATTTTTCCAACCCCGATCCCCCCCCCACCCCTATCTAAAAATCCCCAACCCTCCCCCTCCCTCACCTTAATTAATTCCTTCTTTTCCCTTACAACAATACCCTCCCTCCAACATAAAAACCCCCACTTACCTCAACCCCCACAAACAACCAAACTTCAAATCTATCACCCCCCCAAACCATTTACCCCCACAACAAACTAAACACACCCTTTCCCCTCTCTCTCCAACCACAACAAAAACAACATAATAATAATAATCTCTTCAAAACCAAAAAACCCTACACACACCCACCACACTAACACCCCCTACCCAAAATACACCCCCCCCCACATCCCATTCCTCCCATCTATTAACACCTCACCACTCAATCCCCCCCACAACAAAAAAACCCACCCACTACCCCCCACTCACCCCACACTCAATACTCATATCCTTACCCCCTCCTATCAATTATTAATACTCAACCCTATCATTAAAAAAAACAAAAAACCAACAAACCAAAAACCTCTATCATTAAATCAACCATACCATCCCCACCCATATCTAACCCACTTCCCCACCCCTACCCATCAAACCCTCATACCCCCACTCCACACCCTAAACAACTCCCAATAACAAACAACTCCCCCCTCACTCTCCCAACACTATAACCCCTTATTAATAATACCTACACCAAATTACAACAACACCATTATCCACAAGACAACAATTAAACACAAATTAACAAACACCACATTAAACACCACACACCAAAAATTACAAACAAAACACACACATTACAACACCACAAATCACACCAACACAACATTACACAAAAAAAACCATTCACCCCCCAATACAAACAACTCCATCCATACACAAACACCACCCCCCACATTAAAACACCACTAAACAAAACAATTAACAATTATCACAAACCCTCCACACCAACAAATACACACCACACAAAAACATTACAAAAAACCCTACCAAAATTACACAAACACACACTACACACAAATTACCACCACAACACCCCCACAATTACAACACAATTACAAAAACCAAAACCACAACACTACTCAAAAACCACCACAACCACACACATTACCAACATAAACCCCAAAAATAACACAATTAACATTACACCCCACCTAACAAACATAACCTAACAATCAAAACACTACTAACTCCTCTATCAATATCCCCCACCACAAATCACCCACACCCCACATTGCCATACCCCCATATCCCCCCCCCCAAACCCCCCCAAACCTCTATTCCCCCCCACCCCAACAACACAAACCCAACTAAAATCTATAAAAAAACAAAATCCTTTTCCCAATCACAATAATACAAAACTCCCATCCCATATTCCTCCCCCCCCTTATTTAATCTCTCTATCCTCTAAACCTCTACCCCACCAACCCCCCATATTCTAACATCCCATCTCCCCCCCTCTCTCTTCTCTCCCACCTTCCCCCCCCCCTACATCCCCCCCCCTACCTCCCTCTTTCCCTTCATCATCTCCTTTTATCTCATTCCTATAACCCCCTTTCAAAACTCAATACCACTAAAATAAAACAACCCTAAACCCCCCCTTCCTTAAACTCACCCCCCTTACAAACCATCTTTCTACCCCTCACCTAAACCCCCCCCACCCCCTTCCTCCCCCCCCCTAACAACCAACCCTTCCACCCCCCCCCTAACCACCAAACTCACATTAACTTACTTCCCCTCCACCTTATTCCACTCTTTCTTCATCCCTCTTCCCCCTCTCTCTCCTAACTCTCCTCACTTTCCCTCTCATCTCTCCCCCTCCCTCTCCCTTTCCCTCCAAATCTTCTCTCTCTCTCTCTCTTTTCCCTTTCTCTTCTCCCACTCTCTTTCCCTCTCTCTTTTCCCTTCATTCTTTCCCTCTCTCTATCCCCTACTCTTTTCCCTCTTCCCCCCCCCACCCCCCTCCCACTCACCCCCTATCCTTTCCTCCCTCCCCTACACCCTATCTTATCCCCTTCAACCCCCTACAACAAAACATATACACACTAACCTACTTACCTCACCCCTACCATCCAACCCCATCACCCCCCCCCATCACCCCCCCCAACAACCCCACAATCCAACCCAAAAACCCCCCACAAACAACCCCCCCTACCACACAAATCCACCCCCCCCACCAACTAATTTCCCTCCAACCCTACACACCACATCACTCCCCCCTAACCAACCCAATCTTCCCCTACACATCCCCCCCCCCCCTTCCCCCACCCCCCCTACTAACACCCCCCCCCCCCCCCTACCTCCCCCCCCCCCCCCCCCCCACCAACCCCCCTCCCCAAATCCCCCCTTTAACTAAAAACACCACATACAACTCCCCCCCATCAAAATCATCCCCCCCCCCTCCCACCCCACCCCTACCCACCACACCCCACCCCCAAACCCCCTCTACCCCCCCAAACTCTATCATCCACTCATCCCCCAATCACCCCCCAATCCCAAACCACCCAATACCCTATCCCCCCCCCACCCCCACCCCACCCATAATTTTCCCCCCCACCCCACCACTCCCACAACACCCCATACTCCTCCCTTCCCCCCCCCCCCCTAACAAACACACCCCCCCACCCCAACCCCCCTCCATCTCCTCTATCCCTCACCATCTACATCCCAATCCCCCCACCCTCAACACTATATCCCCCCCCCCCCCCAATCCCCTCTTATACCCTCTCATCCCCTTCCCCACATCTTCCCCCCAACCCCTATCCCCCCCCCTCCCTTCACATTCTCCTCCCATATACATCCCCCTTCACATTCCCCTATTAATCCAAACTCCTCCTCCCCTTCCTCTAAATTCCCCCCCCCCATTACTATTCTCCACACCCCATATATCATAATATCTCCACCCCTCAACACACCATACACTCTCCCAACATACACCTCATACAATAACATAACCCCAAATAACCCATCTACCACCATTACAAACTACACCTACCAAACCCCCCCCCCCCAAACTACTTCAACCTAACTATACCCCTCCACAACATTACACCCCATTCCACAAATTACCTAAAACCACATAATCCCCCAACCCTAATCAACAAATTCAAACCAAAATACCCAAATTACAACTACCACACCACCCACACTACCTCCCCAATTAACACACATTACAAACCACATATAACCCAAAATTAAAACCATTACACCAATCACCACCACCTCACTAACAAAACCCCCCCCCCCACCAAACATAACAACAAACAAAAAAAAAACCCCACCCAAAAACCACTAACATCCCAAACACCCAAAAAATATATATCCACATTCCCCCCACCCCCCCCACCCACCCATATATCCCTAATTACTCCCCCTCAATACCACTCCTACCCCCTACCCCCATCTACCACCAACCCCCTTATATTTTAAATTATCCTAACCATTTCTTCTTCCTATCTCCATAAATTCCCCCCCCCTCTTTTTCTCCATATCCCTCATATCTTCCCCCCCCCCTTATCATCATTTATTTCTATTCCCCTCCTACCCCCACCCACCACCCCACCCCATTATACCCCATTCCCCCCCCCCCCCCTACCATCCTCCCCTTCCCTCTCCCCTTAACCCCACTCCCACCAATCACCCAAACATCCACCCCAAAACACACCCACACAATTACCAAAACAACACAATAACAATTTACAAACCAAACCAAAAATACACATTAACACCCAAACATTCAAACCCAACACACCACCACCACACCCCCACATTATCACACACACATTCCCCACACCAAACCAACACATTACCCCCCACCCCAACTTACACACACATATTAAAATATACCAACCAAAATTAACACAAAATTAACACACAACACATTACATAACACCTCCCCTTCCCAAACCCCTATCCAACACCCCTCCAACCCCCCCCCCCCCCCTCCCAACCACATTCCCCCCCCCCCCCCCATCCACCCCTCACATTCACAACAAAAACCTAAACCCCAATATTATATCCATTTCACCATCTCCCCTTTCAATATCGCACCAACCCTATAAACCCCCCTCACAAATCCCCCCCATCACCCAACACACCTCCTCCCCCCCTATCCCCCTACCCCTCGTACCTTACCTCTGTTACCAAACACTATCCCCCCTTCCCTAACCACCCCCTCCAATCTCTCTCAACACCCCTAACATCCCCCCCCCCACCTTCCACCACCCAAATGATCCCCCCCTTCCCCCAATTCAACTCTCACATACCTCCCTCTCCCCCCTTATCTGATCATCCCTCTCTCTTCCTATTCTCCACACTGTCTATCCCTCTCCTCCCCTAATTATACCCCCCCCCCCCCCACACCCACCCCCCTATATCTTCTCCGATCTCTACCTATATCACCCCATCTCGTCATCTCTCCCCCCTATTTATCCCCTCTCTCCTGTTCTCGTCCCCCACCTCGCTCGACCCACACCGCTCTCACCCCTCCATATGACAAGAGCGTCCCCCTATCTCTCCCCCACTGCATTCCACCACCCCACCCACAAAACAATAACAATCAAAAAACTTCACTCATAAACACATTATCCCCCCCTCCATTTATCATCAATATAATTCCCCCCTTTCCCATATAATCTCTCTCTCTCTTCTATCTCTTCTTACCCCCCTCTCTCTTCTCTCTATCCCACTCTCTCTTCTCCTACTCTTTCTAACATTCATCCACCCCCTCATCCACTATACATAAACTTACTTACCCATCTACCCTCACCCCCATACCCCATCTATTCTCCTACCATCCCCTCTTATATACCCCACCCCACATTCATATCATTTCCTTTCCAAACCAATTCAACCCCCCCCCCCTTCATCCCCTAAAAACCCACTCAAACTCACTAAACCCCCCCATCCATACTCCCCTCCAATAACAACCCTCATAAACCCCCCCCCCCTTAACAACTAATAAACCCATCCTACACATTAATAACAATCCCCCCATATCCCCCCCCCCTCTACCTTTTCACAACAATTCCCCACTTCAACCCCTCAATTCCCCCCCACCATCCTAACTTCCCCTAATTACCCCTATCTCATTAATCCTTCCCCTCTTTCCCCACCCTACTTCAAATAACATTAACCCCTTCCCCCCTATTCCACACTCTACTCTACTCTACTATAACTACTTCTACTTAACTCCTACTCGACTTACTCTACTCTACTCAAAATCTACTATCCTTACTCTACTCTAATTTACTCTATCAACTTACTTTACTCTACTTTACCCTACCTAAATTACTCTACTCTCTCAACTTTACTTTACTCCTCTCTACTCAACCTTCTCTATCAACTTACTTTACTCTAATTTACCTACAATACTCTCACTTACTCTACTTACTCTATACTATACCTCACTATACTTACTCTACTTACTCTATCTACACTACTCTACTCTACTCTCCTCTCTACCCTACTCTAACTCTCCTAGCTACTTACTTACTATCCTCTACTTTTCTTTATTCTACTCTACTCTCACTTTACTCACTTTACCTACCCCTACATATTACTCTACTCACCTCTTACTTCCCTACCATACTCTATTTACTTTACTCTCTCCCTTAATCTACTAACCCTACCCTTACACCTACCCCTTACACCCCCCTACCCTTACCACCCCTACCTACACCACCCCCCTTCACCCCCCCTACCCTTCCCTACTTAACCTTCCATTTTCCATTTTCCCCTCTTCTCCAAAAACTTTCAATTCACCCTATCCCCTCCTCTTCTCCTTTTCCCCCCATTCAAACTCATTACCATCTTCTCATACCCTCACTTCCTTACACCTAAATCTCCTTTTTTTCTCCCCGATACAAACCCCACCCCCCCCTCCCATTTCCTCTATAAAAATAACCCCCCCCCCCCTAACCATATACTCTTATCCAACCAACTATCTCCAAACCATACTTCCCTACCCCTTTTAAAACCCCCACTTTCAATCCCCCCCCCCATCTTCCCATTTATCCCCTACACCTTCAAAATTAAAAACATAACTCTTCCATCCCCTCACCACCCACAATCCCAAACCATCCTACTTCAATTCACCTACACCACACATGCAAAATCCCAACCCTTCAACCCCCTACCCCCAATTACACTACCAACTTTCCCCAAAAATACCCACCAACCCTCGCATACACACCTCAACAACCAAAAACCCCAACATCACAACAAAACAACCACAAAAACTAAATAACAAACAATAAAAAAAAAAATTCAACCACATCCTACCATATCCCCAACCCCCTTATTACACCCCACCCTAACTACACTACACCCCAACCTTTATACAACCTCCATCCATACCAATTACTAATAATTCATCCACCCCCTTTCCCCAAAAAAAAATTCACTTAAATACATCCTCCATACCAAAAATCCCTATCCCAAAAAAACAACCCCACAATCTATATCCCCTCACCTTACTCTCATCCCAATTCCCCATCTCTACCCATATTCACTCTCTTCCCTCCTCACCCATATTTCCCCAAAAACCCCCCCCCCACATAGCCCCCTCATAATCACATCTCATAAAATCTAAAAACTCTCCCCCCCCCCACCCCCACCCTCCTTACACATCTCCATTCTCCCCCCTAATAAAACCCACAATTCCCTCTATTCTACATTATCTTCTCCTATCCTTCTCCACACATATCTCACTTCCCAGTCCCCCCCATTCACCAATCACCACACTAACCCCCCTGCATCCCTCCTCCACTATTCACCCCATTCAACACACCCCCCCTTTCCCCCCTCCCTTCTTCACCATACTTCCCCCCACTCCCCCCAACACCCCATATCTTCCACTATAAAATCTCTATCTACCCCCCCCTATACCTTTAAAACCCCCATCCCCATTAAATCCTCATATCCCACCCACCATAACACCATTTCCCCCTAAAACCACCACCGCATAATCCCCATTAACCCCCCCATCACCCTTACATCCACTCTACTATAATAATTACTCTAAATCCCTCCAATAATATCCACTAACTCATCAACTAACTCCATCATTAATCTATCCATTCACCAACCCACATAAACATACTCTGATCATAACCTCCCCCCCCATTCCCTAAACAAGTCTAATATACTTCACTCTTATTCAAATCCAATCAACCACAATTTCCCTTCCAACTAATTCATTTTCTAACCCCACCCCATATTTACACCCTTAATGATACAAATAAGTCCCGTCAATATATATATAAAACCTCAACCTCAACCACTCCAATTCACATTATCCCCCCTCATCCCTGAACTAAAACCCTAGGAGCACCATATCCTAACCAACCCCCTACATATACTCCTACCATATTAAAACACAATCCAAACATATAAATCCCATAAATACCAAACATCCCAGATAATCCTACACTCCCTAAAATGATCCGACCACCTGACCCAACTCCCACTTCCCCCATCTTTCACACCCCCCCCCTCCTCCACCCCCAACCATCAAAATCCAAACCATGCACCACCCATTCCTTCACCACCGTACAATTACCATAAAAAATCCCCACATCCCCCCCCCCAATCAATCTTCTCCTTTCATTACTTTTACACATCTTTCCCCTTTTCATTACACCATATTTACACATCTTCTCCCCCTTTCATTTCCACATATTTCAATCTTCACCCCTTTCCCATTACATCATTTCAATCTTCTCCCCATTTCCTTAAAACATAATTTCCAATCTTCTCCCTCTTCCATTACACCATCATTTCCACATCTTCTCCCCATTCATTACACCCCCCACATCTCACAAATTAATTCACCCCCCATCACCATCACTCCCCTACAAACTCCACACCCCCCCCCATACAACTCCAATTCTTACACCTACAACCCCACCCCCAACCACCACCCTAACCCACCCACACCCAAACCCCCCTCTCCTTCCCAACAAACCTAACCTATCTACTTAACCACAACCTTAAAATACATCCCCCCTCTTCTCCTTCTCCTAACCAACTCCCATATCCCCCATATCCCCCTCTTTACCTCCCTTCCCATATCCTTCAAAACAATATCCTCCCCCCCCCCCCCCCCCCCCCATACATCTCTCATCCCATTAATCATTTTCCCCTTTCTTACTATCCATTCAACCAACCCCTCCTCATCCCTCTCTCTCCCCCCATCTCATCTCCTCTCTCTTCCCCTCTCATCTCTCCCTCTCTTTCCCCTCTTCTCCCTCTCTCTCCCTCTCTCTTCCTCCTTCTTCTTCCTCTCTCTCCTCTTCTTCCCCCTCTCCTCCTCTCTCTCTCCCCCTCTCTCTTCTCCCCCATCTCTCTTCTCCCCTCATCCTCTCTATCTCTTCCCCCTCTCTCTACTCCCTCTCTCTCTTCCCCTCTCTCTCCCTTCTCTCCTCTCTCTCTTCCTCTCTCTCTCCCCCCCTCTCTCTATTCCCCATCTTCTCCCTCTTCTCTCCCCTCTCTCTTCCCCACTCTACTATCCTCATCTCTATCCTCTCTCTCTCCTCTCTCTCATCTTCTCCCCCATCTCCTCTCTCATTACTCATCTTCCTCTCTCTCTTTCCTCTCTCTACCTTCTTCACCTCACTTCTCCCACTCATCTCTCCACTCTCTTATCCCCTACTATCTCTCCCTCTCCTCTCCTCTTTCCTACCACCCTTCTCCTTCTCTCTCTCTCTCTCTCCTTTCTCTCTCCTATCTCATTCCTCTCTCTCCCTCTCACTCTTCTTCTCCTACCTCTTCTCTCCCTCCTCTCTCCCCCTCTCTCTCCCATCTTCCCCATCTCTCTCTCCCCTCTCTTCTGTCCTCATCTCTCAATCCCCCCCTCTCTCTCTCCTACTCTCTCTCCTCTCTCTCTCCCTCTCTCTACTCCTCTCTCTCCCCTATCTCTCTCCTTCTCACCCCCCTCTCTCTCTCCTCACTCTCACATATTTTACTCCCCACTCTACCTCTCTCTCCCTTCTCACTCTCTCATCTCTCCCCCTCTCTCACACACCCCCCCCCTCTTCCCCACTCACTCACCTCTCACCCCCTCTTCCACCCTTCTCACCCCTCTTCACCTCTCCTCCCATTTCTATGCACCTTTCTTCCCCTCATCCCCCCCCCCCTCTATTTATCCCCCCCAATCACCTAAACAAACAACAACCCACCCCATACAACCCCTATAACACATACATTCACCACCCCCAACCAATCCCTCCAATCTCTCCCCTCTTATCTACCCCCCCCCCTCTCTCTCCCCCCCATCTATCTCCCCCCCTTACTCTCCCCCCCCCCCCTCCATCCCCCTCATTCCCCTCTCCCTCTCTCTCCCCCATCTCATCCCCTCTCATCTCCCCCCCTCCCTCCCCCCCCCCCCCCCCCCATCTCTCCCCCTCTCCCCCCCCATCTCTCTCCCCCCCCCCACACTCCCCTCTCTCACCCTTCTATTTCAAATCTCTCTCCCCCCCTCTCTCCCCTCTCTCTCCCTTCTCATTCAATCTCTCTTCCCCCTCTCCTCCCCCTCTCTCTTCCCTTCTTTAACTCTCTCTCCCCTTCTTCCCCCTCTCTTCCCTTTCCCCCTACCCTTCTCCCCACCCTCTTAAATCACTCTTCTCCCTTTCTCTCTCTCCCTAATCTCTCTCCCCCTCTCACTACCCCTCTTCCCATACATCATCCATCCTCATCTTTACCATTACTAAACTATCATTAATCCCAACCTTACACCTCCACACCCATCCCCCCATTTCCCTATACCCTAACAAAAATAACCATCATCCTCCCTTTTCCCCACAACTCTAAACCACCCAACCCCAACCTTCACAACCCACACCCACCCCCCCCAACAACACTAACACCCCCTATTACCAACTATCTTATCCCCCCCACCCTATCTCAACAAACATAAACCAAACTCTCATACCCTCCCAACCCCCCATCAATAAACCAACCCTTCACTACCCTTCTCTAACCCCCCATATACAACCCCCAACCAACCACCCCCCACACCCCTTATAATAATAAAATCATCATTCACAAACCACCCCCAAAAACCCACCCCCCCACTCCCACTCCATCCACCACCCACCCAAACCCCATCCCCTCCTCCCCCAACCCCCACCCCCCCAATACCCAAACAAAATCACCCACCCTCACCAAACCCATCCACCATCCACATCAAACCTACCACTAAACACCCAATTACAAAAACCTCCCCCCCCAACCACTCAAAAACACCACACCCCCCCACCCCTCCCCCACAACCCATATCACCTTTAAACTCTACAAACTTCCCCTATATCCCTTAACCCCCCCCTTCCACCCAACAACCCCCACTTACCAAACAAACCCTCCCCACACCCACAAAATTCACAAATTTCACAAACCCCATTTAACACCACATTTACAACAACCCACAATACTTAACCCCATATAACATAACATTAACCAAACTTACACCACCAAAATACCACAAACCCCCACACATACCACCCAAATTAAACAACATTAACAAACCACACACATTACCAACCCATTACACACAAATTACACACAACCAACAACTTACACCATTAAACCAAAATAACACAAAATTAAATAAAATTAACCTAATTACCCCACACCACCTTCCACAAAATTACCCACCAACAATAAAAATTACACACCATTAAACCAAAATACAACCACATTAACAAATTACACCACAAAATTACACCATTCCAACCCCCCCTCAACTAACTTACCCAAAACCCCTCACATCTATACCCCATCATTATCCACCCAACTCCCTCCCCTCCACCCCTCTCCCCCCTACCCCCCATTAAAAAACCCAAATTAATAACATTACCCAACAACACACCCCATAACCACACACATACAAAATTCCAACAATTAAAACCATAACAACCCAAATAACACAAAATAACCTAACATCAAACAATTAAAACCACATTACACCAAATTAAACCCACTTTACAACACATTAACACACCAATTAAAACAATTACCACCACACAATTACACACAACATTAACAAATTAACCCAATTACACACAACATTACACAACACAATACCACAACCCAATTCACCCCACCAATTAAACACAACCATTCAACACACTTAAAACCTACACATTACCCAAAATTACCAATACCCACCACACAATTACAAACCTTTCCCAAAAAACCAACCACCTTACAACATTACACAAACTTACCCACCACAATTAACCCCCCCACTTACTCCAACTCCACACACATAACACCAACATAAAACAATTAAAAAAATTACCCCCCAACAAATTAACAACACATTACACCAAAATTAAACCCACATTAAACCCACTTACAACAAATTACCCACCACAAATTAAACAATTACCCCCAACATTACAACCCACTTAAACACAATTACACAACATATTACACAACAATTAACCAAAATTAAAACCAATTACCCAACCATTCCCCAACCCCCCCAAATAACCCAAACCCACATTAAAAACTTTAAAAACATTACCCCACACACATTACCACAAAATTACACCACCAAATACCCACCCCAATTAACCCAAAAATTAACCCAACCCCCCAATTAACAAAATTCCCCCAAATTCAACAATTACCAAATTACACCACATACACCCACACAACATTACAACCAATTACACACCAACTAAACCCATTAACCCCACATTAACACCCCCATTAAAACATTACCCCCAAAATTACACACAACCCCTATATTATCCTTAACCCCCCTTTCCCCCACCACCACACCCCCCCCCCTCCCCAACAACCCTCCCCCCCACCTATAAAATATAACCACCACTCCCACTACATCACCCCCCCCCAAAAAATAACACCTCTACCCCTAACCAAACCCCACCCCAAACAAAAACAATCAAAACCCTCCCCCCCCCTACCCCCACCCCACCCCCCAAAACAATCCTCCTCTAACTTTCCCTACACACCCCACCAAACATAACTCCCCATATCAATAATCTATCTCTCATTTTCCTACCCCCCCCACACCCAATTAAACACAACATCACCCCCCCTCCCAAAACCACTTTCCTCCCCTAAATCACACCCCCCCCCTCCACATTCAATAACTCCCCTACCCCATATCACCAACCCCCTCCTACCCTCCTTCTCCCAACCATCTACCTCTACCCCACCCTTCCCCCTAAAATCAACTTTCTACCCTCTTCTTCCCCCCCAACCCCATATCACCTACACATACTACCCATAATAATCACACCCTCTAACTCTCCACCTCCCCCCATATCACCCACCTTACCACTACATCCCCTACATATCAACCTCTACTCTAATTAACCCAATTCTACCCATACCCCCTACCACATAATCACATCATTACCAACCCCCCTCCCACCCAACAAAAAAAAAAACATAAAACAACATCCACTCCCCCCCACCAATCTCCATCAAAAAAAATCATCACCCCCCCCCCCCCCCCTAACCACAACCCCCCTCACCTCTCACCCCCCAAACCCCTATCCCATCCATCACCTCCCCCAAATCACCAACTTTAAACAAACTCATCCCAAAATCCCCCCACAACCCCCTCCTTTCAACCTCCCATTCCAAATCACCTCCCTACAACAACAAAATCCCCCCCCCCCCCTCCAAATACTTCCCTCCTCCCCTCTCCCCCCCCACAAAATTATCAACCCCCTACTAACCCCCCCTTCCAACTACACCCCCCCCAACTACCCCTTAATCCCCCCACTACAATCCACCTCCCCCACCCCCTCCCTATCTCCACAAAAAATTTCAACCCCTCCCCTCTCCTCCCCCATCTTCAACACATCCCTCCTTACCACATCAACCCACTATACACATCAACACATATCACTTCCACCCCCCCCCCCCATTCATCTCCCATTTCCCCCCCCCCACTTTTCTTATATATCCCCTTAACATTCCTCACCCATAACTAACCCCAAATCATACATCCCCTCACAACCCCCCCCCCCAAATCCCACTAACCCCTATTCCCCCCATAACTCCACCTACACCCCACTCCCCAACTCACATACTATCCAAGATCACCAATTAACCCCATCACCCCACCACTACATAAATACCTATTAACAAAAATCACCCATTAACACCCCTCCTATCCCTACCCCCTACCCTATATTCCCCTTTAACAACACACTCACCCCCATATTTTCCTTTTCCCCCCTTCTTCCCCTCTTACAAACCTTCCAAAACCCACCCTCAACACTCCTCATAACCCCCACAAAACCCCCCCTAAAAATCCCATTACCCACATTCCATCCCATACTCATAATCTTATTAAAAATCAACCCCCTATCCCCCCTCTTCCTCTCCCCTCCCATCCATCCCCCAACTCTCCCAACCCCCCCCAATAAAACCCCAACCCCCTTTAACTTACACACCCAATATCTCAATAATCCACACTTCTCCTCCTCATACCCCATAACACACATAAACACCCCCTAACCATCCCCCCCCCCCCTTCCTATAATCACCCCCCCCTTCTCCCCCCCCCCTAAATTACTAAAATCAACTTCACCCCCTCCCCCTCTTCTCCCTTCCCCCAAAACTTACATCCACCCCCAAACTCAAACTCCAACACAACTCCAACCATTAACCCCCCCTTCCTAATACCCCCTACTAATCCACTACCACCCCCCACCCCACCCCCCCCCCCCCTCCCCCCCACCCCCACAACCACCCCCACCTCACCCAATATACCCCTCCACCACATTCTACAACCCCACCATAATCCACATACCCCCACCCTATACCCACCTTCTCTTCCCCCCAAATTCCCTTTTCATACATCCATACCCCCCTCATATCTCTCAATCTCCCATCCTCTATCCAAACCTACCCACCATCATCCCATCTCTAAAAACCCCTTCAACACCCCCCCCCAATCTATCATCCCCTAAAAACCAAACCCCCACATAAAAATTTAACCCCCCCCCCCCCCCAACATCCCCATATCCCCCCCACAACTTACCCCCAACCAATCCCACTCAAATAACCCCCACTCCCCCTCCAATTTCCACCCCCCCCCCCTAACCCCCTCATCATATATTATTCCTTTCCACTCCTTTCACCTTATCCACCCCCCTTTTCCCTTTACCTTCTCCTAAACTCCCCCTTCCTCCCTATTTCCCCCCCCCATTTCCACCATATATTTACCCCCCCAAACATCTAATCCTCACTCTCCCCCCTCTCTTCCTACTCCACCTACCCCCATACCCATCCCAACTCATTTCCTCTTTTATTTCCTCTTTATTTCAATTTTCATTCATCTTCATTTCATCATCATTCCATTTCAATTTCATTTCATTTATTCCCACCCGATTCACCCCCCCCCCCACCCACCAACCCCTCCCCAACCAACCACCCAACAACCCACAAACCAAACCCACAACCCCCCTCCACACACACCCCCCCCCCCCACACACCCCCCCAACACCCCACACAACCCCAAACCACACCCCCAACCCAACCACCCCACCAACCCCCACACCAACCCCACCCACCCCCCCAACAACACCACCAACAACCCCACACACCCCCCCCCACAACCCCCCCACCCACCCCCCCCCCCCCCCCCCCACACCCCCCCCCACCCACCCCCCCCCCCACCCCCAACCCCCCCCCTCCAACACCACCCCCCACCCCCCCCACACCACCCCCCCACCCCACCACCCCCCCCCCCCCCCCCCCCCCACACTCCCCCAACAATAAACCCCCACCCCCCCCCCCCCCCCCAACCAAACCACCACCCAAACACTACACCCCCCCACACCCCCACAACCCAAACACACACCAACACCAACACCACCCCAAAACCCCAAAAAAAACCCCAAAACACCCCCCCCCCCCCCCCCCCCCCACCCCCCCATCCCAAAATTCCCCTCCACACACCCCTCACCCCCTCTCATTCATCACACCCACCTCCCCTTATTTTTCCCCCTTTACACTACCCCCCCCCTACAAAATCTCCAAAAAATTTACCCCCTCTTCACCCCCCTTCCCCCCCAACATCCTTCCCCCAACAACCAAAAATATAAATTATCCCCCCTCAAACCAACTAACCCCACCCCTCCCCCCTTCAATTTCAATTCCCACCCCCCTTAAAAGTCCCTTACCAACCCACCCTTCATAACCAACTCCTAAACCCTCTCCTTACCCATCCTCCCCATCCCCCCCATACCATAAAACAACACAAACAAAAAACAACCAACAAATTACCAACACCTACAACACTAATCCACCACACACACAACACCACACCCCCCCAACACCCCAATTACCCCTTCCCCATCTCACTAACAAATACCCCCCCCAACACCCCCCCTTCACCCAATTCCTCCCCACCTCACCCCCACCCACATCATTTTCATTCTTCTTCCCCAAAAATTACCCCCACACCAATTAACACCAAATTAACATATCACAACAAAATTACACACCACAAATACAACACAACACCACACTTACTCCCCCATTAATCACACATTCACAAAATTACACCCAATTACACCAACACAACACCCATTAAACACCAAAAAACAATCAACCCCCCAAACTACACCCCAACACACAAAACATCAACAAAATTACCACCATACATTACAAACACCACACCCCCCATAAATCTAATTCTCTCCTTCAAAACCCTAATTAATATACCTCCCTATTTCAACTCTCAAAACTCTACATCTACTCTTTCCCCAAATACCATCACAATCCCCCCTCATCACCTACATCAAATCTAATACAAATTACATTTCTCTTCCTCTCCTCTATCCCCCCCCAACACAAATCCTTCCCTAAAACAACTTCCCACATCCAAAACCATCTTCCCTACCCCCCCCCCCCCTAAACTACTACCATCACACCTCACAGCAACCCTATAAATCACCCAAATCTACTTCTTATAAAATTAATAAGCACCTCCCATCCCTCCTTAAAATTCATATCCCTTCCCCCACACTTCTTCTATATCCCCCTCCTCTCTCCCCTCCATCATATCCCTTCATTCCCCCCTCTCGCTAAATATAAATATCCACTCTCTCCTCTCTTCTTCCTAATTCTCTCCCTCTATCTATCATTTCTCTCTCTCCTCTCTTCTGTCCTCTCCTCTATACATTCTTACCATCACTCCCTCTTCACCCCCCTCCTTCTACCTCTCTCTCTGTTCATCCTTTCCCTCCCCCTCTCTCTCCTCTCCTACCCCTAACTCTCCCATTACATAAACTAACCCCCGTAACACAAACCGAATAAATCATACAATAATAGGCAATATACCTCTTCTTCTTCTTTCCCTGTCGTGTCACTCCCCCTTCAACCCAACACCTTCCTTCCCCCATGCTTCCATCATCCGTTGTTTATCATCTTCCCCAATCGACACACCACACCTGCTCCGCTGCCCAGCTCCCACCCCCTCGTATATGATTAGACAACAGTGATTATGACTAGCTTACCATTATCCCGTTTTCTTACCTCATTCCACACATTACTATAAAAAAAGAACTGTCCCCATCCAGCCCAAACGTAAGAAATACTAACCAGACCAATACAAACCAACTATAAGTACACCACCCCAATGATCATTATGCATCCACATAATAAACTGAATTTTTTTGGTAACAAACAAATCATCTTAAACACCTCTCCCCTATGAGCTCCCATCTCTCTGCTGATCCCAGAGCTGACGTGAATAGACCTAGATATGCTCAGTAGATCGGCCCGCACGCTCTCTATCCTATATTACCAGATATGCGCCCCGCGATATGATCCTAGGAGGAAACCCCCAGAGAGCTCTCCATATTGTCCAGCTAAGAGAGTGAGGGCCAAGTTTTAGACAGATTACAATGAAATCCTACGCACAACCTCACACAATGAAAAAGATCCCTGAACCGTGCATGCGCGTGATCCATCCTCTTCCTTTTCATCCTTACTATTCCTACTTTACACTTCACCTCCTATTTCCCTACCTTCAACCCTTCCTAATTTACCTTACCTTCCTATTCTTCATTCTTTTTATCTTCTTCTACTCCTCTCCTCCCCCTTTCTTCCTCCCCACCTCTCCTCATATATAATTATTATCTACCCCTCTACCTCTAATCAATATTACCAAAACATACATCTCCTCCCACTATTACCTCCCCCCTTCTAAATCCACCTCCAAATTACATCCCCCCACACCCCCCAAACCCATCCCCTTTTTCTTACTTTTCCCTTTACATCCATATACATAACATCTCCCATCAAACACTATTTACACCCCACCAATATTACCATTATATATAACCTATATAAAACCCAACTACCCTATCAAATTTAACCACCCATAACCTCTTACCTTAAAATATACACACTCCACTTCCATACTATTCCTCTTCCCTCACACACTACCTATCCCATCTCCACCACAAAAAACCCCTATCTATACCCTATATAATAATTAATCAAAATTCAAACCTATTACCCCCTATCCCCCCTTAAATTTACCAAAAAAACAACAACAACCCACCCCTTAAATAACCATAAATCTATTATACTAAAACAACCTAAAACATCCCCTCATCCCCCCACACCCCCCCCAAATACCCCCTCTATCTACATTCCCCAATACATCTCCCACCCCACTACCTCCCCCCCTAACCCCTAACCATATAAATAACTCCTCACCCCCAAAAATCCCCTCCTACCTAATAACTCCCCTCCTCATACATCAAACCCCAACCCTCTCACAACATCCTCTTTCCTCCTCCATTTTTCCCCATTCCAAACCCCTTCTCCATCCTCTACCTATCACCCATCACCCTCTCAACATCAATCCTTCCCTCCCACCCCCTCCTCCTACCACCATCCTCCCCAAATATAAAAAACTCCCTATTTAAAACAAAACCTAAACCCATCTAAACCCCACACCCACACATCCCCTCAACCCCCCACCAAAAAACAACCATTCACCATACTCCATATACATAACCAACCTATACCATTTTTCTCATACCCAATAAATTAAAAAACCCCCCCCCCATTACCACACACCTTACCCCAAAATTACAACACAATTACCTCAAACATTACCCCCCACCCACAATCCCCACACCCCAAATACCCACACCACACACCCCAATACCACATACCCTACAACCATTCCCCCAAACATTAACACAACATTACCACACATTAACCAATTAACAAATTAACAAAACCATACACCAAACTAACCCCATCTTAAATACCCACCCCCCTCCCCCCACCCAACTCTCTTCATAAAACACCCTATCCATATTCCATATAAATCAACAATTCATTCTTCTCTCCTATCACCTACTTACCCACACCTAACACTTTTCCCATAACTCACCCCTACTTCCAAAATCCCCCCAACCTTCTCCCCCTCCCCCACACCCCCTCTACCCTCCTTTCCCCAACATCCTACACCCCAAAACCCTCCCAATCACCCATATCCTCCATCCCCCCCTACCTTATTCATTATTTACGTAACACTCCATTATAAATCACCCCCCCCCTATACCCCTCCACTCCCTCATTCTTCCTCATCCACCTACCCCCCAACCCCCCCACCATCCATAACCACCAAACTTCAACCCCCCCTAAACACCAACTCTCCCACCCCCCCCCACACCTCTCTCCCCCCCCCCCCCATCCCCACCCCCTCTCATCACATAATAATCTTCACCATACAATTTACTCCTTTTTCTTCCCCTTACCCCTATAATTAACCTCCTTACCCTCCACCTACTTCATTTCTTTTCCTACCCCTATCCCCAACCCTATAACCACCCACCCCCCAACCCCACCAACCCAAACTCCTAATCCCCTAAATCGCATCTAGCCCTTCACCCGTCCCTTCTAGCCATCTCTACCTCTCTCTCTCTCTCTCCCATCTCCCTCCACTCTCTCTCCCTCTCTCTCTCCCCCTCACTCATCCCTCTCTCTCCTTCTCTCCCCATCCTCTCACTCTCTCCCTCTCCCCCCCCTCCCTCCTCTCTCTCCCTCTCTCCTCTAATCCTCCCTCTATTCCATCTCTCTCTATTCTATCTCAACCCTCCCTCTCTCCCCCCTCTCTCCTCCCTCTTCTCACTCTCTCCTCTCTCCCTCTTTCTCTTCCTCTCTCCCTCCTCTCTCTTCTCTCTCCACTTCTCTCCCCCCCCGATCTCCCTCCCTCTTCATCTTCTCTATCCTCTCTACTAATATCTCTCTTCCCCATCTCTCTATCCCTACCTCTCTTCCCTCTCTCTCTCCCCCCTCTCTTCATTCTCTCTCTCTCCCCCCCCTCCTCTATCCTCTCTCCCTCCTCTCTTATCCCCCCTATCTCTCCCTCGCCTCCTCACCCCATAATTCCCTCCCCCCTACACACCACACACATCAAACTCCACCACCCTCCTCCCTAACCACCCTACACTAACCCACATAAACCCACATCCCTCAAACTCAAATCTAACCTACGATCACATCACCTCAAAACAAACAACCTATCCACCCCCCCCCCCCTACCCCATCCCCTCCACCAATTAACCCCTACCCCCCCCCCCTTCACATTTTTCCACACCCCTACCCCCCACATATCCTAAATACAACCCCCTCATTCCTCACCTTACATTAATTCCAACTTTTTCGCCCCTTACCAACAATACCCTCCCTCAACATAAACACCCACACACTTACTACCTCCACAAACAACCCCAAATTCAAATATATCACCCCCCCTAACATTAACACCACACAATCAACACACACCCTTTACCCCTATCTCTCCACACACAAAAACACACCACTATTAATAAATAATCCTCTTCAACCAACCACAAACTAAAACACACCCACCCACACTAAAACCTACCAAAATTACACCCCCCCAAATCCCATTCTCATATATTACACCCTCAACCCCCAACAATCCCCCCCACCAACCAAAAAAAATACCAACCCTCTCCCCACCCTACCCCCCCCCCTCCCTCAATACTCATCATCATTACCCCTCCCCCTATCAATTACCTTAATACTAACCCCCTATTTAAAAAAACCCAAAAAGAACCCCAACAACAAATATCTCTTATCCCATAAAATCAACCCAGCACCCTCCCACATATCTAACCCACCATTTCCCCCACCCCTCACACCAATCCAAACCCTCATACCCCCATCCCACACCTAAAAAACTCCATAACCAAACAACATCCACCCTCACTCTCAAACCCCAATAACCCCCCTTATAAATAATACCTACCACACACATTACACCACAAACATTCACACAAACACCCCAATTAAACCACACATTAACAACAAACATTAACACCAACAATAACACATTAAAACAAAAACAAACATTTACCACCCCACAAAAATCCACCACACCCAACACAAATTCAACAAACAACACCATTAACCACAACTACACAACCCTCATCCATACAAAAACCCACACCCAATTCACAAACACACACTACAACAAACACATTAAAATATTCAACACATCACTAAACACATAACAAACCCACACACCCACAATCAAACACAACCCCATACCCAAAAACTACACCTAACACAAATAAACCAAATTAAACAAAACAATTAAAACACATTACACAAACAAACACAACACTGTCACAAAACAACAAACACACACATAACAATAAAAAAACATACAAACATGCCCACATTACACCCCCACTAACAACATACCATAACAATCAAATCAATACAAACTCCTCTATCTATCATACCAAAAAAATGACACCCACCAACCATAACCCATACACATCATAATCACCCCCCCACCCCAAACCCTCATCTTACCCCAAACCAACACACACACTACCAAACCTAAAATCCGATAAAATAATCTTTTCAATAAATATACACACACATCAATCCATATTCCTAACCTCTATCTACATCCTCTTATATACTCAAAACCATCTACACAACACCACATACTTCTAATCCCATCTCCCCCCCCCTTCTCTTCTTCCACTTCCCCCTACTCCCTACTCCCCTTTTCCTTTTAATAACCTTTTTATCTCATCTTCAAATCTTTAAACTCCAATACCAACAAAATATCACAACCCTATACCCACTCCCTCCTAAACTCCACCCCTTCACACACCATCATCTTTACATCCCTAAACCCCCCCCACCCTTCCTCCCCCCCCTAAACCTACCTTAACCCCCCTAACCCCCCCCACCAAACTACATTAACTTACTTTCCCCACCACTTATCTCCACTCTCTCCATCCCTCTCCCTCTCTCTCCCTCTCTCCTCACTTTCCCTATATCTCTACCCTCCTCTCCCCCCTTTCCCTCAATCTCCCTTCTCTCTCTCTCTCTCTCTTTCCTTTCTCTTTACCCACTCTCTTTCCCCCTCTCTTTTCCCTCTCTCTTTTCCCCCTCTCTATTTCCATCTCTCTTTCCCTCTCCCCCCCCTTCCCCCTACTACCCAACCCCCCTATCCTTCCTCCTCCCCTAACCCCTCTCTTCCTTCAACCCCCCTACTAAAAACCATATCACACTAACCTACTACCTCACCTTACCTCAACCCTCCCCCCCCCACTCACACCCCCCCACATAATCAAAACAAATCCATATTAATCACCCCATAAACACTCAACAAAAATGAACCTCAAAATTACCCATTTCCCTCCCAAAACCCTCCCACCCAAAATTCCTCTCAATAATACCATCCCATCCCTTCCCAATTCACATCCACCCCTCCCAACAACCCCTAATAACAAAACCATCCCCCCCCTCCAAACCTCCCAATCACTTAACTTAACACACTAATTCCCACATCTAAATATTCCCCCCCATACCACCAATCTCAACATCCCCAACCACCCCACCCCCCCCCAATCCCCCCCCCCCATCTCCCCCAAATAATCATAATTCCACCTCATCCCCCATCACCCCCCCATTCACATAAAACCCAATCCCCCTCATCCCCCCACCCCCCCACCCCCAAACCCACCCCCAATATCCAACCCACTATCATCCACCCCAAATACCATACTCACTCAATCCTCCAACCCACCCTACACATCCACACACCCCCCCCCCCCAACCTAATCCTCCCCATTCATCTCCCTCACCCATCTACCATCCCCCCCAACTCCCCCTCCCCTCATCACCTCCCCTATCCCATATTCATCCTCTCCATCCCCCTTCAAACCCCATTATTCAACCCCCTATCCGATCCCTTCAATTTAATTCCTCCCATCTTCATCCTCTCACTCTTCCCTATTATCCCCAACAAACATCATCATCCCCCATTCCCCTCACATTTACTCCCCCCCCCCCCCCCATTCTACCTCATTTATATACACACCCCCATTTATCATACTTCACTCATCCATCCTACCACCACCCTACCATTAACTCCTACACAACAGACACTCATACACAACATACCCTTCCCCACCCAACCATACACCCTCCCCTACCCCAAATTACATCTCACATTCATACCCCCACCCCCCCCAAATCTTCAACTCAACTATCCACCCCTCACCCACATTACCCCCCTTCCACTCACCAATTACCTCACACAATTATCCCAACCTATAAAAACACTTACCCCACCAAATTACACAAATTACCCACACTAACACCACAACTCCCTCACCAACCTACCACACACAATTAACACAATTCCAACAATTAATCCCCACACAATTAAAATAACAACCCCCCCCCAACTCCACTACCAAAACCCCCCCCCCCCCCCCCCCCCACAACAATCCCCAACAACCCCCCCACAAACAAAAAAACCCCCCCCCCCCCCCCCCAAAAACCACTAATCAAAAACCAAACCACATCAACTCTCCCCAATTTTTCCCCCAACACCCCCACCACCCATATCCTCCATCAAATACCTCCTAATACCATCCCATCTACACCCACTATAACCACCCACCCTTACTATTTTTAACATTCATCCCCTAAAATTCTTCTTCCTATCTCAAATGTCCCCCCTAACTTTTTCTATATCCTCATATCCCTCCACCCCTTATAATCATCGTTTATCTTCCCTCCTTACCCCCACCCACAACCATACTACCATTCCCCCCCCCATAATCCCTCCCTTTCCTCTCCCTTAACCCCACTCCCCACCCCATCCACCAAAAACCCCCCCAACAAACCACAACCAAACATCCACAAAACCCCCACCCATTACCCAATTTAAACACCACAAAAAATACCCACATTCCACAAAAATTACCCACAAAAACACACACCACCACCAATTCCACACACAATTACACCAAAACCACATTACACCCACCTACAACAATATTCAACATTACACCCACCCAAACATTACCCACACAACATTCACAACCCACCACACATTAATAACCCCACCCTCCCCCAAAATATAACACCTCCAACCCCCCCCCCCCCCCCCTAACAAACATTCCACCCCCCATCCACCCTCACACCCTACCCACAAACACCTAAACCATATTATATTCATTTCCACATCTCCCTCCTAATATCACACCTATACCCAACCCCACACAAATCCCATCCACAACCCCACCATCTCCCCCTCTCCCCCTACCTCTTACCCCCTTACCTCCTATAACCCCAACATATCCCCCACCTATCCCACACCACCTCCCAATCTCTCTCACCACCTAAATCCCCCCCCCCCCTTCCCCACCAAACACCACCCCCCCCTTCCCCCCCCATTCACTCCTCCACTCCCCCTCCCCTCTCCTCTCTCTCTCCCTCCCTATCTCTAATATTTCTCCACCATTTACTCTCCCTATCTATCCCCTATTTTCTCCCCCTTATCTCTCCTATCTCTCCCCTCTATCACCCCCCTCTCTTCTCTATCCCCCCTATTTCTACCCTATTCATAATCTAATCCCCCCCTCTCTCTCCCCCCCTCTCTCACCTCCCCCTCTACCCACACTCTCTCCCCCTCTCTCTCCCCCCCTCCTCCCACACCCCCCCCACCCAAACAATAACACATCAAAAACCCTTCACTATAAACACATTTTTCCCCCTCCCATTCTTCATCCCTATACATTCCCCTTCCATATATCTCTCTCTCTACATCTCTCTCTTACCCCTCTCTCTTCTCTCTCTCTCCCCTCTTATCTTTCTCCTACTCTCACTTACCATTCTTCCACCCCTCTCCCCTATAAAACTCCAATCTCATACCTTACCCCCCACTCCTACCCTCAACCCATACCCCCCCATCCCTATTCTCCTTTCCCATACCCCCCCCTCATTCTATACCCACCCCACCTTTATATCATTCCTCATACCACACCACCAATCCCCCCCCCCCCCCCCCTATCCACCCCCAACCACCCAACCCCCCAATAAACAACCCATCAACCCCCCCCCCCCCCATACAACCCCATCCCTCCAAAACCACCCTCCCCCCACCCCCCCCTATCTCACCACACCACCCAACCACACACTTCCCTAAACCCCACTAAACCCAAAACCCCCCCCCCCCCCCCCTCTACCATATACCCCCCCCCCCATCCCCCCAACCCCCCCCCACACAACCCCCCCCCCCAACCCCCCACCCACCCACCCACCCAAACACTAACCCACCAACCCCCCTATCTTTCCCCACCATTTACAACAACCCCAAACACCCCCCCTTCCTACCCCCCCCCACTACACACCTTACACACCAACATAACCACTACACTCCAAACTACAACTCTACATTAATTAAATAAATCAATAATAACTCTACACTACCATAACACATCATCCACCCACCTAACCAACCATTAACCCCTTCCACCAAAACTACTCCTCACCTCAACAAACCTATCCTCTCTCTACTCCACCTTACTACACCACCACATCCTTTCCTCAAAAACCCTAACCTACTCAATACTACTAACTAACTACACTACACTCCACTCCCATCTCACACTCCACACATACACTCTATCAACATAACACAACATATCAACTCAACATCACTACCCCTACACACCACATCACCACTACTTCCATCACACACACCACTACATAACTATACATATACAACAACAACTAACACCCCAAACCCCCCCACTACCACACCACACCACACCACAACCACCCAACCTCACACAAACCAAACCACACCAACCACACCAACCCCCCACCAACCCACCCAACCCCCCACCCAACCCCACAAATTCCCAAACCCCACCCCCTAAACACACCCTAACCATCAATTTCCCAAACCCCAACAACACCCCCCCCCAACCCATCCACCCAACACAAACCACAACCCATTCCACCCCTCAATCCCCCAAAACCACACCCCCCCACCCCCAACAACCCCCCCCCACACCACAAAACAAAACCCCCCCCCCCCCCCACCCCAAACCACAATACCCCATACCCACCCAAACAAACACCCCCCCCCAAACCCCACCCACCCCACCACACCCCCAAAACCACCCCACACCTACCCACCCCCCCCCCCCCAAACCCACTACACCCACCAAACCAAAACCCCCCACCACAACACCCCCCCCACCCCCCCCCCCACCCCCCCCCACACCCACAAACCACCCCCACCCCCCCCCCCAACCCCCCCCCACCCCCCCCCCCAACCCCCTAACCCCACCACCCCACCCACCCACCCCCCCCCCCCCCCCCCACCCCCCCACAACCACCCCCCACCCACCCACCACACCCCCCCCCCCACAACCCCCCCACCCAACCCCCACACCCCCCCACAACCCCCCCCCACCCACCCCACACCCCACCCAAACACCCCCAACCACCCCACCCCACCAAAACCCCTCCAACCCCCCC